TGGCGATGCGTCTGTGTTCCGTGTCTGGGGATCTCGGGCGTTTGTCCGCGACTTGTCTGCGGACAAGCTGTCCCCTCGTGCTGCTCCCTGTGTCTTCCTTGGCTTCCCCACTGACGCCCCAGGGTGGCAGTTTTACCACCCCTCCTCTCGTCGTGTTCTGTCCTCCCAGGACGTCACGTTCGACGAGTCAGTCCCCTTCTACCGTCTCTTCCCCTACCGCACTCCTTCCCTCCCCCCTCCCCCGGACTTCCTTGTGCCGGTTCCCCCCCCGGTAGACCCCCTCCCCCCTCAGGTTCCTGCCCCCTCAGGTGTGTCCCAGGTAGACGCCGTTGACCCGGTCGAGGTTACTGGTGACTCTGGTGCTGCTGCGGGTGCTGAGCCTGGGGGTGCTGACTCTGGGGGTGCTGTGCGCGAGGGTGCGGAGCCTGGGGGTGCTGAGCCGGGGGGTGCTGTGCCTGGAGGTGCTGGGTCTGGGGGTGCTGGGTCGGGAGCTGCTGAGCCTGGGGGTGCTGAGCTGGGAGCTGCTGAGCCTGGGGGTGCTGCGTCTGGAGCTGCTGAGCCTGGGGTTTCTCCTGCTGCTGCGTCTCGCCGGGAGCCCCTCTCTCCACAGGAGCTGCGCGAGTGGTTCGCTCGCCGCTGGAGGCGTGCTGCTAAGTCTGGAGGTGCTGCTGGCGCTGGAGCTGGAGCTTCTTCGACCGTCGAGGGTGCGGGTGCTGCCGGTCCCGGAGCTGCTGGACCTGCGGGTCCTCCTGGAGCTGGCGCTGCTGAGGGCGTTGGTGCTGAGCCTACTGCTGTTGGTCCTGCCGCTGGAGGTGTGGGTGGCGCTGGTGCTGTCGCTGAGGGTGCTGGTGCTGTCCCTGCTGAGTCTGGAGCTGCCGCGCGGCCTTGGCCGTACTTCGTTCCGCTCCTGCAGCAGGTTCTTGGTCTTTCTCCTCTAGTAGAGGGTCCACCGCCTGTCCAGTCGCAGTCCCTACTGGAGCCTTCCTCTCCACTGCCTGCTCCCTCTCCTTACACTGGTCCTACTGGAGGTCTTGCTGAGCGTCGTGAGCCTGCGTCTCGTCCCGCGTCGCCTGATCGTGCTGCTCGCGCTAGTGGTCGCAGTTCGCGTCAGCGTCCTCCTCCTGTCCCTGGCACGCACCGGATGTCTTTGCGTCCGTCCACTGCTCCTCTGCGTGCCCCTTTGCCTTCTCCTCCTGAGTCCTCTCTTCCTGCGCTTGCCGACCCTGAGTCGGACTCTCTTCGTGCTGCCAGTCCTACTGTCACGCGTCTGCTTGCTACTGTCGTCACTGACCCCTCTTTTGAGTCCACTGCTGCGTCTGCTCTAGTCGCTGAGCTCGTCGACTTTGCTGCTCGCTGTCGTCTCGACTACGCTGCTAGTCTTGTTGCTGGGTCTGCGTCTGTCTGTCCTCCGTCCGTCGGGGGTGAGTGTGCTCTTGGCACGGACGTCCTAGAGGACAGGCAGGAGGAGTTACAGTGTCTAGCGACTGCTTCACCTCATCTCGCGTCTGTACTGATTGCCCCTGAGGGAGACCCGGATGCACTAGACATCCCGACTCCGCGTTCTTACGCGGAGGCCGTAGAGGGTCCCTACTCCTCTCAGTGGCAGGCAGCTATGGATGCAGAGATGGCTTCCTGGAAGTCCACAGGCACCTACGTTGACGCGGTTCCCCCTCCTGGGGCGAACATCGTCAGTGGCATGTGGATCTTCAGGGTGAAGCGGCCGCCGGGCTCTCCACCTGTCTTCAAGGCACGGTACGTTGCTCGTGGCTTCAGTCAGCGGCAGGGAGTTGACTACTTTCAGACCTTCTCTCCCACCCCGAAGATGACTACTCTTCGGGTGCTGCTGCACATAGCCGCTCAGCGCGACTACGAGCTTCACTCTCTTGACTTCAGCACTGCGTTCTTGCAGGGTAGCCTGCACGAGGAGATCTGGCTTCGCCGTCCACCTGGCTTCACTGGGACTTTCCCTCCTGGCACCCAGTGGAGCCTCCGACGGCCAGTCTACGGTCTCCGCCACGCACCGCGTGAGTGGCACGACACACTGAGGACTACGCTTGCGGCTCTTGGGTTTGCTCCTTCTACTGCTGACCCGTCGCTGTTTCTTCGCACCGACACTTCCCTGCCGCCGTTCTACATCCTCGTGTACGTCGACGACTTGGTCTTTGCCACAGCGGACACTGCTGGACTCGCCTACGTGAAGTCCGAGCTGCTGAAGAGACACACGTGCACAGACCTGGGTGAACTGCGCAGCTACCTTGGCTTGCAGATCACTCGGGACAGAGCACGCTGCACCATTACCTTGACTCAGTCACACATGGTGCAGCAGGTCCTTCAGCGCTTCGGCTTCACGTACTCCTCGCCTCAGGCCACTCCTCTGCCTACTCGCCACTCACTCTCAGCTCTGCCTTCGGATGAGTCCGTAGAGTCGAGTGGTCCGTATGCAGAGCTTGTTGGCTGCCTCATGTACCTGATGACGTGCACACGACCTGACCTTGCATACCCTCTGAGCATTCTTGCACGCTATGTTGCTCCTGGGAGACACAGACCGGAGCACATGGCTGCAGAGAAGAGGGTATTGCGCTACCTGTGCAGTACGTCGGGCATGGGGCTAGTGCTTGGAGGGCGGAGTCCAGTGGTCCTTACCGGCCACGCGGACGCTTCTTGGGCTGACGACCAGGCTACGCAGCGGTCGTCACAGGGTTACACCTTCAGCCTTGGTTCCGGCTCTGTCTCGTGGCGGTCTACTCGCTCGTCTTCGGTTCTCGGCTCCTGTTGTGAGGCTGAGATCTACGCCGGGGCCATGGCTGCACAGGAGCTTCGCTGGCTCACCTACCTGCTGACTGACCTTGGAGAGCCGCCTCGTTCTCCTCCAGTGCTGTACGTAGACAACAAGGCCATGCTGGCCTTGTGTCGAGAGCACCGCTTGGAGCACAGAACGAAGCACATTGCTCTCCGCTACTTCCTTGCTCGTGAGCTGCAGCAGCGTGGTCAGTTGCGACTTGCGTACGTGGCCTCTGAGGCCAACACTGCTGATGTGTTCACCAAGGCACTCGCGCCTTGTGACCATCAGCGCTTTTGCACTCAGCTGGGTCTTGTACCTGTCTTGCCTCACTTGCTCTCCTCTTGACTTCACTTGTACTGTGACATATATATATACCTGTTCTTGCTTGTCTCGTTTTATATATATGTCTGTACTCCAGCATGTGAACTGGCCTCTGGCCCTGCTCTTGTGCTCGGACTGTGTGGTGACTTTGTGATCCACCCTGAGCTTGCTTTGCTTTGCTTTGCTTGACTGGTCTTGTGACCCCTTGTTCTCCCCCACTTAGCCTATGGGGGTGTGTCAGAGTATTATAGCTGATGCATGTTTGTAGGCTAAAGTGGGGTAGCACATATGGGGTACAGCTTTCTAGGGTTGTATTTGTACCCAACTCTGACTTAGTCATTTTCATTCCTGTTCACTTGTTTTCACAAACGGTTGGGATGCATTTGAATAAGGGAATGTACCCCTTAGAGTACATGGCTAGTTAGGTCGTTTCGAATTCCCTTGTACTCATACATATATCGCTGTATTTGCATGTTTTTATCATCTCAAGCATTTTACATTCACTCTGCTATTGAGGTCACAGGCCCACCAACACTACTCACTGTGTGCGAACCTACCAGAGCAGATCCTGGGTCACGATCAACTTCTGATCGCAACGTAGTCTTCACCCTTCGGAAGTTCAATATACCGACCGTGCCGCTCCAACTAGAGAACTCCAGTAGTTGGCTTTTATTGGTCAATTTTCAAATTAAGGGCGCGTGTGGTCTGTTTAGAAGTTCAAAATAAAGTTCGAACTTTGGATGGTTACCCTATTCGCTAATTTCGCGAAGGGTGCTTCGCGAACCAAGCATTGTATGGGCTCTGCAAAAGTTCGAGTTTGAAATATGAACTTGACTCGAGTCGGAGGCGGGAACGTGCGTGCGCACGTTCATGCGAGCGTGTGTGATTTGCAGCACGTCCGAACAGCTGGCGAAACGGGCGAGCGCTTCGCCAGTGCATGAAGTTGCACAACGAAGACACCCCACAATTCGTGCACATAGTGGTAGCCACGTGTCCAGCATCGTGGCACGTTCGAGCACGATGTGGCAACGCGTCCCGCCCGTCTTGACGTCAGTCAAAGAAACTCCCGCCCTTGGTGTTGCCACGGGGGCTATTTGTACCCTGGTTACACACTCGGCGCGGAAGGTGAGTAGGAGCTCTAGGTCCTTGTAAACCGAGGCGCAAAATGTTGACGTGGCGCGCTGTCAAGACGAGCGAACCGGGTAACCTATGATGTTGACGTGCGGCTCGGCTCGTTTTTACAAGTTCGAATGTCGGGGTTCGACCTTGTATGTGTGTGTGATTTTTTACAGTGTGGTAAGCCCGATGTTCGAACTTCGATAGAAGGAAATTCGAACTTCTTTCGTTGTAAGTTCAAAACTAAAATTCGCCCTAAAAACATAAACTTTTACAAATTTCAAAGACCACACGCGCCCTAAGCGGGACAGAAGTGCGAGGGCGAATTGGGGGGGAGGGGTTTAGGGGGAAGGGGGGGGGGGGGGGGGGGGGGGGGGGTGGGGGTTTGGTGTGGGGGTATGGTACTCGCTTCAGGGTAAAACTCGTTATGAAATCGGTAACCCTAAGTCATCATTGTGCCTTAAATGTAAACCCTGGCATATCAGGAAAATTCTAGCTCCCGAAAAATTTACCCTAGGCCATCAGTGTGACTACCAAAAACCACCCTGATAATCAGGGTATCAGGGTGATTTACACTGATAAAATTTGTGGTGGCATCATCCATATATCATGCATACAAATAGCAGGTTTTAAGCATGTGTCTGCCAATTACCAATACACTAAGTACCTGCAGACTTGGAATGCGCTTGTTATGATCACACATGGGTCAAATTCATGTGTAACGACGTCAGATGTATTTAACATTATATAATCACCACAATATATACAATTTAATACGATATTATGTAGAGCCATGTGATAGATCCTCACCTACATCTGTGTTTTTTCCCCATATGGACCCAAGTGCAGAGGGCAGCTTCGTCTGTTTCACATGGAACGCTCCAATCTGCAGAGTGGGATATGATAGAGTGGGTATATACAGATTCGTAGAATATAGGCCAGCCATGGTTCCCCTCTGCAACCGTTAAAACGATTAGCACGTCCTCTTGAAGGTCAAGCTCTCTGCACACAGCTGACTCAAACGCAAGGAGGACATAGGAAGGAAATGAACATAGATGAACAAGAAAATTTTGCAGCAGGACGTACGGAAACAACATACTTGCATTAATAAGCACGCTGCGAAGTACGGGAAACAAGTGAACCACCAGCAGCAGAGTTGGGTAAAGAAAGATGTACGAGGATTCGTGACATACATGGGAAGGCCTGGTGTAGGAGGTTGGCGATGTGCGGGGTCTCACACCAGATGTGAAGGATAGCTCGAGAGAAGCAGTGCATGGGCGATACGCCTGACCATGCCACCACCTAGAAGTAGAGCCATGCAGCATGGCAGCGGGGAAAGTGTGCAAGGGAAACAAATCACAGAAGAGAGAGGAAAGGTTGCAGAGGAGACATCTCATGCATGCTGTAAGCACACGTGTCATGGGAGAACAGCTGCAGAACTTACCAGCCCATGCAGCTTCTTTCTGAGAAGGGCCTTTGCGTGGTCGTAGTCAAATCGACCAGGGTCGGGGTACATCATGGCTCGAGTGACCGACACTCCAAAGCGCTGCCCAAACAAGCTGCAGATGTAATCCACCTTCTTCCAGTTGCTGTCGCAGTACTGTACCTGAGATATCGAGAGCAAAGACTGTCATATTGTGCGTGGGACAGAATCTAGGGAACGAGGTGTATGACGTATGGATTCTGTCCTAGCATGTAACTTGATTTCTTCAATTTTCAAAGTTTCACGAATATCGTTCCCAACCCAATTTCATAATTCCACGTACCTCCATCTCTGAAATTATGTCAGATGCACCGAAATGGCGCACAAAGTACTCCACTGAAAGGGACTGGGAAGTGGGGTGGTGTGAGATAATTTATTGCACCAAAATATGTTCTATCTAGGATTAACAAACGTACGAAGCATTCTGGTTTTGCCAAATGGTATGTTAAAAGAGAGACGTGATTCAAGAAGCGAAAATCAAGTTATTTCCTCACCTCGGAAATGACGGACGCGCCTCCAGCATTTGGGGAGGAAGCAACCCTGACAGCGTCTTCCGATAGAGTGAAGTCGACAAACGGGGCCCGCGCTTCGAACTCACTCAGGAAAACCGCCTCTGCCTGTACACTCCCTTCGCCTAGTCTAATCTCGTCTACAATCTCTTTATATACACGACCATCCTGTACAGTCAATTTCCCGCCCCCTTCCCACTCTCTGTCCCCCACTCCTTTACCCCTCTGTTCTGTTTGTTCCAATTCTGCTTGCTCAGACGCAGACACACAAGCGCTATCGGCTCCACAAGTTCCGTTAAGCCCATGGGAAAGACGTTCGACAGGGTAGGACGGCGACAAGGTTTCGTCCGAGCAGTGAATGAAGGGAAAAGCGGTCGGCAGGCTGGAGTGATCGTCTCGACTACTCGCGGACGAACTCGGGCTTCTTGCTGTCGAAACAGGGCTTATGCTAAGCTCGTTCTCCTTTGAACGACGATCTACGTCTGCTGACGCGCCTACGTTTCTGAAGCTTCCGAGAAAACTCTGAGGGTTTGTAGCTTGAACGTCCTTGGTTCGAGAACAATCTAGCTTTGCGCTTTGCAGCGCCGCCGTATCCCCACAGTCGGGACTGAAAAGCAAGTCCATGCAGAAGCTATCGTCAATAAGAGCCCAATCCGCATCGCGCGGAGACGAAGTGGATGAAAGCGGACTCGCACCTGACGGTTCGGATGCGAAAGAGGAGGCTGAGGCGGGGGAAGAAATAGTAGAAGGGTCATCGTCAATTCCCGTCAATAAATCGTCTGTCATCCAGCTATTGCTCACATGTCGTTCCCCCGCAACCAGCGCACCCGCCGCCCCCTCGCGCTGAAGCGCCTCTCTAAGAGTCACTCGGCACGAAGGGGAACGCGGCGACAGAGTTCGCACGACGAAATCGTGCGACGGCGCGCCGAACTCCGCTGCGAAAGGAGCCATTCCCGCCGCTGCCGCCGTTCCACCTGTACTGGTGCGATGCGGGTGGTCCCGCCCAGGCCGGTCAGCACGGTTCGGAGCCGCGGCGACCGGAGGTTGGAACTTCCAAACAGAACCGACAGGAGCGAAAAATCCGACAGAGCCGACACGGGATTGGCAGGAATGCCTGGGCAGCACGGATGGCACGCTTGGAGCGTTGCGTGCTCGGACAGGATGATGTGCAGCTAGGTAGTGCTGGTGAGGTGTGAGAGAACGAGCCATCATCGAGTGACTGAGCTACGGCCATGGACCCTCCGGGTGAAACGCTATTGTATTAGCTTGCGACTACAGCGGGGACAACGGGATGCCGCTTGAGTCGACTCAAAAGTCATCGCTACCAAACTCGTTTTGCGACTACTAACGCTATTTCCCTCAACTACTGAAGGTCCCTGCTGTTGTGAACGCCGTCCTTCGTGTGTGGTGGATTTCTGTGTTGGCATGCAAGCCACCTGAATTGAAATGATGAGCGCGTCGGGAATCAACGGCGTGGGTGATAGGAAAAGTCGAAAGTGGTGGGTTTGCTGTTCAGTTTCGCATTCTCGGCTTGCCCCAAATCCCAGATTCAACTCTAGCTGATCGGGAAGGGTTTCACATGAATATGTACGTTACAGAACGTTTTACCACGGCGAAATGCGTTAACACGGTGCTCACGTACGTGCACTTCGACGTGCATCTGGGGCTGGAGCATCTGCTGAAGGGAATCAACTCCGTAGCGGGGTCTGAAATTGACGCGCGGCGATAGGGAATAAATTAGCAAAGCGCGCCGGAGCATTGTGCCCTGATTGGCAAAGCTTTTGCAAGGTGACTGGGTTACTGATGGCGAACGGCATGGCAATTGGTCAATGTGATGCTGACTGTGTAAGAGGAACCGTCAGGTGCAGTCGAATACACGTGGAATCGTGTCTCTTTGAGCAAGCACGACAGAAGACTCAATACTGCATGATGCAATGTGCGTGCACTTAACGCCATGGAAAGCCCACACTTTGGAAACAATAATATGCAAAATATCATAGGAGTTCTTGCACACCTCGCTGCAGACATCCATATAGTGTTAGATTACAGAAATATATACACTCTATCTACACAGCCCTGACACAAGTCTTCATATTTATTCCAAACCAAGGATGATGTGCATGGTGTGCCCATAAACCCCTTTCCCCGTCATCCTTTGACCTTTCAGATACCTTATACAAGGACTCATAGAAGATAGGCCAGCCTTGATGGCCTTCGGCAACAGTCAGCACCATCAGCACGTCTTCTTGCATATCCAAGGAGCTTGAAACCTCTGCAAATATCAAGTTTGACAGAGAAAGGCACGATGAGGGAAAGCTGAACAATGAAAAGGACAAATCGAAAGCTTCGTGGTTCTTGCCTGGAAATGCGTCTTGCAGAAGGTTGGCTATATGTGAGGTTTCACACCATACGTGGAGAATGGCTCGAGAGAAGCAGTGCATGGGAGAGATGCCCGACCATGCCACCACCTGCACACCTCACAACCGGCACAAATGCATCAGCTGCAAGAGACGATGAGTACACGCAAAAGTTGCAGACAAGGTGCCAACAAATAGAGAAAATGATAATTTAACAAAGACGAGCCTTATCACTTATCACTTACCAGCCCGTGCAGCTTCTTCCTGAGCAGGGCACGAGCACGGTGGCTGTCGAAGAGAGCAGGGTCGGGGTACATCATGGCTCGAGTGACCGACACTCCAAAGCGCTGCCCAAACAAGCTGCAGATGTAATCCACCTTCTTCCAGTTGCTGTCGCAGTACTTGATCTGATATGAGATTGAAATAGCAGATGCTTCGCATCGGTTTTAGAAGCGAGACAGAGAGGGAAAAGAAGGAGCAGGTGCACAGAACATATGTTTCTTACCTCCATCTCTGAAATAATGTCAGTTGCACCAAAATGACGCACGAAATACTCCACAGAAAGCGACTGCAGAGGAGGTGAATAGGCGGGGAAGGGTAATACTGTTACTCACAGGAGAACAAAAACCGAAAAAGCCAGTGATGCACATACGATTGCATCAAAGGACTCGATTGCATCGAAGGACTCACCTCGGAAATGACGGAAGCGCCTCCCGCATTGGGCGAGGCGGCGACCCGGGCGGCATGTTCCGAGAGAGAGAAGTGCAGGAAAGGCGCCCGGGCCTCAAACTCGGACACAAACACACGCACAGCATAGCACCCTTCGGGTCGCTCTTGTCTGTGCGTGTCAGAAGTGCAGCCATCCTGCTGTCCCCGCTGTTCTAGCTGCTCCAACTGCTCAGCCCCAGCTGCTTCAGCCACAATCACACCCTCATTAACACCTTCGCCTGGATTCTCCAGTTGAGATTCCTTGTTCAAAGTTAAGTCGGAGTATTCTTCTTCTGGTGAAGTCAGCCCAGGTTGGGCGCAGGTTGATCCTGACCCCACGTTGTCGCCGATGTTGGTGTCCAGGTGCCCGAAGAGCCACCATAATCCGAGAGAATCAACGGCCAGGATCCAATCCTCTTCTTCTCCTGCATCATCCGCCGTAACCGCCGCCCAGAACTCTCTGCTGCAGGCCTCGACCACGTCAGCGCAGTCCTCCGCTTGCCACGTGTGCAGGGAGACTACAGCCGTGGCAGCAGCGTCTGTAGCGCGCCTGAGCGCGTCCCAGAGGGCGACGCCAGCGGACGGCGCTACAGCACGAATGATGAAGTCAGCATGTGACACCACTGCGGCTGTAGCATGAGGTGCGGCTGTAGCAGCAGTGGCGGCTGTAGCAAGAGGGGCGGATGTAGCGCCTGCATCGGTTGTAGCACCAGAGGCCGCGGGAGCAGCAGAGGCGGATGTAACGTCTGCTTCCCTTGTGCATGAGGAGCTTGTCACACCTGTAGCGCGCGAGTTGGATGGGGAAGTAGCTTCTCCTTGGGGAGTGCCGCGAAGGGGAGACGCTACAGCCGGCGCTACAGCCGCTACAGCAGGGACGTCGGCTTGAACACCCGCTCCAGATGCCGTTTGGTTCTCCTCCACTTCTAGGATTTGATGCGGGATATGATTCTCCACCAGCTGGATCGGATTCCGAGGCTGGGCCGCCTCCCAGATCGTCGGACGCACCGCTCGGCTCCACGTCGGCCCCGTCGATACTGCCGAAGCCGCCGCTTCCATCACACTCGATATTGTCACATCCAGAGTTGACTGAATGAGCGCTTCCCTCCCCTCCGCCGCTGATTCCGCCGTTTCCGCCGCGTACCTTGCGTGAATCGTGATGCATCGGGAGTTTGGATTCACCGGGGCCGCCACTAACCCGCTTCTTCCGCCGCCATTCGCGCCGCGTCTGCCGCTCCGCCCCGCCTCCCCTGGGGATTGTGGAGGATCCAGTCTGGACGGCAACTGCGGCGCTTCGTATCCGTCTCACGCGGCGGAGGGTGCGGGACAATCCAGTGGCGTCGCATGAACGACCGACGCGCTGTTGACGAGCCATGGCTTTCAGCGTTCCGGCGCGAATGCCGTTTTATGACGAGCAAGCAAGAGTGACAATGCTACGCGCGAGAGGTAACTAATAGAGAACTGATGAATAATAAGTCTATAGCAATGCGTATCGTGCTGGCCTTACATGCTGGCAGAGAGTCAACGAGTGACACACTGATGCTTCAGTTCCCACGAGTTAGTGGGCTCTTATACTCCTCCTGACGCGCCGCTCCTGCTACTCTGCTGCTTCTCCAACCATAAGAAAATTAGTCCGAAAATCGTTCAGCGGTGCCCCAAACATTCTCGTTGTGCGACATTTTGTACGAAAGTTACCGTTTCGCGAACTTCATCTGCTGTTCGCCTAATGGCTTAGATGAGTTACTTCTTCGTCTGCAATTTCGAGAATGCGTCTGGCAGATGTTTGACGTGGATGTTGTCGCATTGACTCAGCATGGACCAAGTGGACTCGCTTGGTGGGTGGCTTGGGTTACACGCGAAAACGAAGATATGTAATTGGTCGCAGTCGTTTCGGGGTTTACGCAAGCAGGGTTTCCCGGGTGTTCTCCGTTGTAATATTTCTCGGCACTAGACTATTGTGCTGTTTGAGTTATAGATATACAGATTCAGTCGAATGGTTTTGAAAAGTGTATCATCGTGTTACACACCCACCCGCGTGTTGTCACTTGCCGGCTTTGGCGAAAGTGGCGAACAGGTGCACGTCGAGTGCCTGGCGGGTGACTCCACTCCACTCCGCCCAGGGGCCTACTGGTGGGTGGCACAGGCACCACGGTCTTTTCTATTCAGTACATAACAGTAGAGTACATCTCCGTACGGTTCAGAGCGGTATCTGGTCCTCCTGAACAAGCAGAGGTTGTTGTGTTTTGTGCTTCCAGTGTGCTGGTCGTGGCTGATTTGAAGACCACTCCTGCGAAAAATTGCGGGAACGCACTGAACCCCCTAGAACTCTTTTACTAATAGAATAATGGTCTCACAACCTGCCATTTTCCACGCATCACAGAAAGCACGCGATCAGCGAAGCGAGCGCTGCACTAGAGAATGACGACTTATCTCGTTGCTCTCTACTGATTCATGCATTTCATCCCTCCCCTGCGTAGTAATTCCCTTGTCCATTGCGGAAGCGTAAGACTCGTCTGTTTCGTTTCGCACGTCCAGAGCTATCAGCTTTTCCCGCAGCCTGCGTAGCGACAGAAGTCAGGGTGACTCGCTTACACAAACTCCTGTCACCCTGAGCTGGTTAGGCCGAGTTTACCTTCGAAGTGCTCTCTTTTCGTTTGAAAATCCATACTCATACCCCCTATTCCGGTGAAACGCATTCCTGACAGAGCTTGTGGTAGCGTTGCTAAGACCGCTGCACTTCCCTACCATTATTATCAATGGCCCTCTCGTTATTATCACAACCTTCAGGAGGCGAGGTTGAGTGATTAAGAATCGTAGCTTGTGAGTTCTCTTAGGGATTTCTCGAACGTGACTGCTTTCGTATATGTGACATCATAGGCCCGCATCATCGTGGGCTAAGCGAAAGCGCTACGGCTCGACGACTTAGGTAACTTGTTCCGCATTCTAATCGGTTCGCCCGCTGATTGGTTCGCATCATAATGAGTCCCCTACGACACCACAGAGCTGTCTTTCAACGCCGACCAATGCCGCGTCTTCAAATGCCGTGTCATAGGCTGCCGTTTCTATGTTAATCTACTAACGAAAGTCCTTCTGACGAGCCAGTCGCATCTCCTATTTGTCAGCAACTCGAACCTTTCCAGCCGTCGTTCTCGTGTCTAGGCTTAGGAGCAGCAGCAGCAGCAGCAGCAGCAGCAGCAGCAGCAGAAGAAGAAGCAGCGGAAGCAAAAGCAGAAGCAGAAGCAGCAGCAGCAGTGACTTGACCTAACAGTGGCTTCTCTAACGGTCATATTGTCCCGGCGCGCACCGGAAAGAGAATGGGCGGGTGCTTATCGGTGGAGGTAATTGCAGAGAGCGCGCCCAGTTCGCCCTTCGGTAACGTCACATCCACCACGCCCAGGTCCCGCGCTCATTCCGTCGCCTCCAGCCCTGGTGGTAACCAGCGTTTCGCGACGGGTTTTTCGCCTCGAACGCCGAGGGAAGCTGGGGATGGGAGCGAGGCGGAGGGTAACGGAGCAGGGGGCAGAGGGGTGGCGGGCGGAGGGGGGAAGTTCAGAAGGGGCGCGGGGAAAGGGAAGAGGGTGGGGAGCGGAGTTGGCGGAGCGAAGGCCGTGTCTAGCGGCGGGGGGAGAGGGGGCGGAGGGGAGGGAGGGGAAGGAGGGTGGGGACGGGGAGCGGAGAGGCAAGGGGGGCCGGTAGGGAGGGGGAATGGGAGAGGGGGAGGAGGGGACGGGTACGGCGGAGGTGGCAACTTGGCAGCACCGCAGAGCGTGCCTGTGGAACAAGCAGCTGGTGTCCCATCAGGTAGGGAGCAAGCAGCTGGTGTCCCATCAGGTATGTCGGGGGGGAGTAATGGCTGGCGTGTTGTTCCCTCTGGAGTGTGCTTTGCCTTGACTGTAGCACACCAGGGTGCTGCGCAGGCGGTGGCTTGGCAGCACCGCAGAGCGTGCCTCAAAACCTTAGAGAGGTCTCAAGAGTCGAGCCCAGGGACGGAGATTCTACTAACCAGTGTGTGCCGTGCTGTGCCCTCACAGTCACAGGGAACCCGAGAATTGAGACGTCTCAAAAGTCGAGCCCAGGGACAAAAATCGAGTTGACTCAAAAGAGAATTGAGTCGACTCAAAAGAGAATTGAGACGTCTCAAAAGTCGAGCCCAGGGACAAAAATCTGAACCAATGTGTCTCCTCACCTCACATTCACGTGGGAACCCGAGATTCGAACAAACCGCCTCAGGTCCCACCTCCACCAATTCTGTCGCCCTTTTTCCCGCCTCTTCCCCCCAACCCTAACCACCTCAGATGCCACCTCCACCAACTCTGCCGTCCTTTTCAGCCGCCCATTCGACGTCCTTCGAGCGCAGGGACGGAGATTCAAACCATTGTGTGCCCTCACCCTCACAGTCACAGGGAATTCGAGATTTGAGACGTCTCAAAACTCGAGCCCAAGGCCAGAAATTCGAACCAATGTGTGTCCTCACAGTCCGAACCAATGTGTGTCCTCACAGTCCGAACCAATGTGTGTCCTCACAGTCCGAACCAATGTGTGTCCTCACAGTCCGAACCAATGTGTGTCCTCACAGTCCGAACCAATGTGTGTCCTCACAGTCCGAACCAATGTGTGTCCTCACAGTCCGAACCAATGTGTGTCCTCACAGTCCGAACCAATGTGTGTCCTCACAGTCCGAACCAATGTGTGTCCTCACAGTCCGAACCAATGTGTGTCCTCACAGTCCGAACCAATGTGTGTCCTCACAGTCCGAACCAATGTGTGTCCTCACAGTCCGAACCAATGTGTGTCCTCACAGTCCGAACCAATGTGTGTCCTCACAGTCCGAACCAATGTGTGTCCTCACAGTCCGAACCAATGTGTGTCCTCACAGTCCGGGGGAACCCGAGAGTCGAACAAACTGCCTCAGGTCCCACCCTTTTTCCCGCCTCTTCCCCCCAACCCTAACCACCTCAGATGCCACCTCCACCAACTCTGGCGGCCTTTCCGCCGCCCAATCGACCTCCTCCGATCCCAGGGACGGGCGGGGCACGGCCCGCAAGTTCCGGCTGCACGAGCTGCGGGCGGCGACGTCGTCTTTCAGCAAGAAGGCGGTGCTGGGCCGGGGCAGCTTCGGGGAGGTGTATCTGGGGAAGCTGGGGGGGAAGGAGAGCAAGGAGGTGGTGGAAGTGGCGGTGAAGAAACTGAATCCGGAGAGTTCACAGGGGCTGGATGAATGGCTGGTGAGTCCTCCTGGGTCGTTCGTGTTGCAGGGGCTGGACGAGTGGCTGTAGGGAAGGTGGGCGGGAAGGAGAGCAAGGAGGTGGTGGAAGTGGCGGTTAAGAAACTCAACCCAGAAAGTTCACAGGGGTTTAGGGTGATGAAAGAACAGGGGTTCACAGGGGTTTAGGGTGATGAAAGAACAGGGGTTCACAGGGGTTTAGGGTGATGAAAGAACAGGGGTTCACAGGGGTTTAGGGTGATGAAAGAACTGGCGCTGATGAAGGCCTCACAGGCCGAAACGCGTACGCCTACTTAGTACTTTTACTTTGAGACTTATCAAGTCCTCATTCATACCTTTTTTCCTAGTCCTACGAAGCAACCCACCCACACTTAGCTGAAAGTTTCAACGGTGACCACACGGCTTGCTGCGTTTCGAATCCTACATTACTCCGAAGGAGGTGGTGGAAGTGGCGGTTAAGAAACTCAACCCGGAGAGTTCACAGGGGCTGGATGAATGGCTGGTGAGTGGTGATTGGCAGTGTTTCTTGATGCCTGGATAGCTACAAGCAGGTGTATTTCGAAAAGGTGTATATGGGAGGGTGTATTTGGGGGAGGTGTATCTGGGGAAGCTGGGGGGAAAGGAGAGCAAGGAGGTGGTGGAGGTGGCGGTGAAAAAGCTCAACCCGGAGAGTTCTCAAGCGCTGGATGAATGGCTGGTGTGTGGGATATCGAAATCACTTTTGAGAATTCTCAAAGATGAATGGCTGGTGTGTGGGATATCGAAATCACTTTTGAGAATTCTCAAAGATGAATGGCTGGTGTGTGGGATATCGAAATCACTTTTGAGAATTCTCAAAGATGAATGGCTGGTGTGTGGGATGGGATGGAATTAGGGGGGGGGCCATGGGGCAATTTTTGAGTCGACTCAAAAGTCACCGAATTAGGGGGCATGGGGCATGGCTGCTTTAGATGGGGAGATGGGGCATGGCTGCTTTGGGGGGCATGGGGCATGGCAGATGTATCTGGGGAAGGAGAGCAAGGAGGTGGTGGATGTTGCGGTGAAAAAACTGAATCCGGAGAGTTCTCAGGGACTGGATGAACGGTTGGTGAGTGGGTATTGTGGGGCATTATGGGGCATGGCATCTGGGGAGGTGCATCTGGGAAGGTGTATCTGGGGAGGTGCATCTGGGAATGTGTATCTGGGGAAGCTGGGCGGGAAGGAGAGCAAGGAGGTGGTGGAAGTGGCGGTGAAGAAGCAGAATTCGGAGAGTTCTCAGGGGCTTGATGAATGGCTGGTGAGTGGGTGGAGAGGTGAGGGGTTGGTGTGAGGGAATTGGGGGGGTTGGTGTGAATTTTAGATTGATATTGCCTGGAGCCTGTTAGGAAAGGAAGCTCTGATGCGATCTCCCATCTCAGCAACAGTCAAGGAAAAGTGAGGCTCATAGCCTCAAGGGCGAGGGACCCCCCCTCCCCCCCTTGAATGAGCTCTTTCACGAGAAGAGAGGCCAGTGAGGTAGGCCCGTGAGGTAGGCCCGTGAGGTAGGCCCGTGAGGTAGGCCCGTGAGGTAGGCCAGTGAGGTAGGCCCGTGAGGTAGGCCAGTGAGGTAGGCCCGTGAGGTAGGCCCGTGAGGTAGGCCAGTGAGGTAGGCCCGTGAGGTAGGCCCGTGAGGTAGGCCAGTGAGGTAGGCCCGTGAGGTAGGCCAGTGAGGTAGGCCCGTGAGGTAGGCCCGTGAGGTAGGCCAGTGAGGTAGGCCCGTGAGGTAGGCCCGTGAGGTAGGCCCGTGAGGTAGGCCAGTGAGGTAGGCCCGTGAGGTAGGCCCGTGAGGTAGGCCCGTGAGGTAGGCCCGTGAGGTAGGCCCGTGAGGTAGGCCCGTGAGGTAGGCCCGTGAGGGAGTGCACACACTCCACACGTATTGGAGTGACTTTTGAGAATTCTCAAAAGTCACTCCAATATGGGAGTGCACACACTCCACACGTGCTCTCTCCTTTGACCCCACTCCTCCCCCCCACAGGCGGAGATAGTGCTGCTGAGGAAGCTGCACCATCCCATCCCAACCTGGTGGAGTTCATAGGCTACTGTGCAGAAAAGGGCGAGGGAGGCTACAGTGACTCTCTGTCGCCTTTCCCTTCCCGACCAACTGTTGTATCCTTTCTTGTCTTACAACCTTCCCCCCTCCCCTTCCTTCCCCCACAGGCGGAGATAGTGCTGCTGAGGAAGCTGCACCATCCCAATCTGGTGGAGCTGATAGGCTACTGTGCAGAAAAGGGCGAGGCGCTGCTCGTGTACGGGCTCTGCCCCAATGGCAGCCTGGACGACCGCCTATTCCCCCGTGAGTGCGCAGCTTCACTAACTGCCTAATGGCTTTGAAGCACTTGCCAGCATTGAGTGTATGCGTACATGCTCTGCGTGTGCACATATCAGAGATGAGTGAAGGCCCTGCTGGTGTACGGGCTCTGCCTCAAATGGCAGCCTGGACGACTGCCTATTCCCCTGCACTGCTGTGCGTGCATGTATCCATGTATCCATGTATCCATGTATCCATGTATCCATGTACACACATGCATGCATGTTGCCTGCTGTGCCAAGAAGGGCGAGGCGCTGCTGGTGTACGGGCCGTGCCCCCCCCCCAACGGCAGCCTGGACGACCGGTTGTTCCCCTGTGAGTGTGCTGCTGTGCGTGCATGTACACATGCGCACATGCACTGTATGCACACACTACCTGAGGCAAGGCGCTGCTGGTGTACGGGCCGTGCCCCCATGGTAGCTGGCAGGGGGCAGCTTGCAGGGGGCAGCTTGCAGGGGGAAGCTTGCAGGGGGCAGCTTGCAGGGGGAAGCTTGCAGGGGGAAGCTTGCAGGGGGCAGCTTGCAGGGGGAAGCTTGCAGGGGGCAGCTTGCAGGGGGCAGCTTGCAGGGGGCAGCTTGCAGGGAGCAGCTTGCAGGGGGCAGCTTGCAGGGGGCAGCTTGCAGGGGGCAGCTTGCAGGGGGCACACATGGATCATGTGGATAGCACAGGGGGCAGCTTGCAGGGGGCACACATGGATCATCTGGATAGCACAGGGGGCAGCTTGCAGGGGGCACACATGGATCATCTGGATAGCACAGGGGGCAGCTTGCAGGGGGCACACATGGATCATCTGGATAGCACAGGGGGCAGCTTGCAGGGGGCACACATGGATCATCTGGATAGCACAGGGGGCAGCTTGCAGGGGGCACACATGGATAATTTGGATAGCACAGGGGGCAGCTTGCAGGGGGCACACATGGATAATTTGGATAGCACAGGGGGCAGCTTGCAGGGGGCACACATGGATCATCTGGATAGCACAGGGGGCAGCTTGCAGGGGGCACACATGGATCATGTGGATAGCACAGGGGGCAGCTTGCAGGGGGCACACATGGATCATGTGGATAGCACAGGGGGCAGCTTGCAGGGGGCACACATGGATCATGTGGATAGCACAGGGGGCAGCTTGCAGGGGGCACACATGGATCATGTGGATAGCACAGGGGGCAGCTTGCAGGGGGCACACATGGATCATGTGGATAGCACAGGGGGCAGCTTGCAGGGGGCACACATGGATCATGTGGATAGCACAGGGGGCAGCTTGCAGGGGGCACACATGGATCATGTGGATAGCACAGGGGGCAGCTTGCAGGGGGCACACATGGATCATGTGGATAGCACAGGGGGCAGCTTGCAGGGGGCACACATGGATCATGTGGATAGCACAGGGGGCAGCTTGCAGGGGGCACACATGGATCATGTGGATAGCACAGGGGGCAGCTTGCAGGGGGCACACATGGATCATGTGGATAGCACAGGGGGCAGCTTGCAGGGGGCACACATGGATCATGTGGATAGCACAGGGGGCAGCTTGCAGGGGGCACACATGGATCATGTGGATAGCACAGGGGGCAGCTTGCAGGGGGCACACATGGATCATGTGGATAGCACAGGGGGCAGCTTGCAGGGGGCACACATGGATCATGTGGATAGCACAGGGGGCAGCTTGCAGGGGGCACACATGGATCATGTGGATAGCACAGGGGGCAGCTTGCAGGGGGCACACATGGATCATGTGGATAGCACAGGGGGCAGCTTGCAGGGGGCACACATGGATCATGTGGATAGCACAGGGGGCAGCTTGCAGGGGGCACACATGGATCATGTGGATAGCACAGGGGGCAGCTTGCAGGGGGCACACATGGATCATGTGGATAGCACAGGGGGCAGCTTGCAGGGGGCACACATGGATCATGTGGATAGCACAGGGGGCAGCTTGCAGGGGGCACACATGGATCATGTGGATAGCACAGGGGGCAGCTTGCAGGGGGCACACATGGATCATGTGGATAGCACAGGGGGCAGCTTGCAGGGGGCACACATGGATCATGTGGATAGCACAGGGGGCAGCTTGCAGGGGGGACACATGGATCATGTGGATAGCACAGGGGGCAGCTTGCAGGGGGCACACATGGATCATGTGGATAGCACAGGGGGCAGCTTGCAGGGGGCACACATGGATCATGTGGATAGCACAGGGGGCAGCTTGCAGGGGGCACACATGGATCATGTGGATAGCACAGGGGGCAGCTTGCAGGGGGCACACATGGATCATGTGGATAGCACAGGGGGCAGCTTGCAGGGGGCACACATGGATCATGTGGATAGCACAGGGGGCAGCTTGCAGGGGGCACACATGGATCATGTGGATAGCACAGGGGGCAGCTTGCAGGGGGCACACATGGATCATGTGGATAGCACAGGGGGCAGCTTGCAGGGGGCACACATGGATCATGTGGATAGCACAGGGGGCAGCTTGCAGGGGGCACACATGGATCATGTGGATAGCACAGGGGGCAGCTTGCAGGGGGCACACATGGATCATGTGGATAGCACAGGGGGCAGCTTGCAGGGGGCACACATGGATCATGTGGATAGCACAGGGGGCAGCTTGCAGGGGGCACACATGGATCATGTGGATAGCACAGGGGGCAGCTTGCAGGGGGCACACATGGATCATGTGGATAGCACAGGGGGCAGCTTGCAGGGGGCACACATGGATCATGTGGATAGCACAGGGGGCAGCTTGCAGGGGGCACACATGGATCATGTGGATAGCACAGGGGGCAGCTTGCAGGGGGCACACATGGATCATGTGGATAGCACAGGGGGCAGCTTGCAGGGGGCACACATGGATCATGTGGATAGCACAGGGGGCAGCTTGCAGGGGGCACACATGGATCATGTGGATAGCACAGGGGGCAGCTTGCAGGGGGCACACATGGATCATGTGGATAGCACAGGGGGCAGCTTGCAGGGGGCACACATGGATCATGTGGATAGCACAGGGGGCAGCTCGCAGGGGGCACACATGGATCATGTGGATAGCACAGGGGGCAGCTTGCAGGGGGCACACATGGATCATGTGGATAGCACAGGGGGCAGCTCGCAGGGGGCACACATGGATCATGTGGATAGCACAGGGGGCAGCTTGCAGGGGGCACACATGGATCATGTGGATAGCACAGGGGGCAGCTTGCAGGGGGCACACATGGATCATGTGGATAGCACAGGGGGCAGCTTGCAGGGGGCACACATGGATCATGTGGATAGCACAGGGGGCAGCTCGCAGGGGGCACACATGGATCATGTGGATAGCACAGGGGGCAGCTTGCAGGGGGCACACATGGATCATGTGGATAGCACAGGGGGCAGCTTGCAGGGGGCACACATGGATCATGTGGATAGCACAGGGGGCAGCTTGCAGGGGGCACACATGGATCATGTGGATAGCACAGGGGGCAGCTTGCAGGGGGCACACATGGATCATGTGGATAGCACAGGGGGCAGCTTGCAGGGGGCACACATGGATCATGTGGATAGCACAGGGGGCAGCTCGCAGGGGGCACACATGGATCATGTGGATAGCACAGGGGGCAGCTTGCAGGGGGCACACATGGATCATGTGGATAGCACAGGGGGCAGCTTGCAGGGGGCACACATGGATCATGTGGATAGCACAGGGGGCAGCTTGCAGGGGGCACACATGGATCATGTGGATAGCACAGGGGGCAGCTTGCAGGGGGCACACATGGATCATGTGGATAGCACAGGGGGCAGCTTGCAGGGGGCACACATGGATCATGTGGATAGCACAGGGGGCAGCTCGCAGGGGGCACACATGGATCATGTGGATAGCACAGGGGGCAGCTTGCAGGGGGCACACATGGATCATGTGGATAGCACAGGGGGCAGCTTGCAGGGGGCACACATGGATCATGTGGATAGCACAGGGGGCAGCTTGCAGGGGGCACACATGGATCATGTGGATAGCACAGGGGGCAGCTTGCAGGGGGCACACATGGATCATGTGGATAGCACAGGGGGCAGCTTGCAGGGGGCACACATGGATCATGTGGATAGCACAGGGGGCAGCTTGCAGGGGGCACACATGGATCATGTGGATAGCACAGGGGGCAGCTTGCAGGGGGCACACATGGATCATGTGGATAGCACAGGGGGCAGCTTGCAGGGGGCACACATGGATCATGTGGATAGCACAGGGGGCAGCTTGCAGGGGGCACACATGGATCATGTGGATAGCACAGGGGGCAGCTTGCAGGGGGCACACATGGATCATGTGGATAGCACAGGGGGCAGCTTGCAGGGGGCACACATGGATCATGTGGATAGCACAGGGGGCAGCTTGCAGGGGGCACACATGGATCATGTGGATAGCACAGGGGGCAGCTTGCAGGGGGCACACATGGATCATGTGGATAGCACAGGGGGCAGCTTGCAGGGGGCACACATGGATCATGTGGATAGCACAGGGGGCAGCTTGCAGGGGGCACACATGGATCATGTGGATAGCACAGGGGGCAGCTTGCAGGGGGCACACATGGATCATGTGGATAGCACAGGGGGCAGCTTGCAGGGGGCACACATGGATCATGTGGATAGCACAGGGGGCAGCTTGCAGGGGGCACACATGGATCATGTGGATAGCACAGGGGGCAGCTTGCAGGGGGCACACATGGATCATGTGGATAGCACAGGGGGCAGCTTGCAGGGGGCACACATGGATCATGTGGATAGCACAGGGGGCAGCTTGCAGGGGGCACACATGGATCATGTGGATAGCACAGGGGGCAGCTTGCAGGGGGCACACATGGATCATGTGGATAGCACAGGGGGCAGCTTGCAGGGGGCACACATGGATCATGTGGATAGCACAGGGGGCAGCTTGCAGGGGGCACACATGGATCATGTGGATAGCACAGGGGGCAGCTTGCAGGGGGCACACATGGATCATGTGGATAGCACAGGGGGCAGCTTGCAGGGGGCACACATGGATCATGTGGATAGCACAGGGGGCAGCTTGCAGGGGGCACACATGGATCATGTGGATAGCACAGGGGGCAGCTTGCAGGGGGCACACATGGATCATGTGGATAGCACAGGGGGCAGCTTGCAGGGGGCACACATGGATCATGTGGATAGCACAGGGGGCAGCTTGCAGGGGGCACACATGGATCATGTGGATAGCACAGGGGGCAGCTTGCAGGGGGCACACATGGATCATGTGGATAGCACAGGGGGCAGCTTGCAGGGGGCACACATGGATCATGTGGATAGCACAGGGGGCAGCTTGCAGGGGGCACACATGGATCATGTGGATAGCACAGGGGGCAGCTTGCAGGGGGCACACATGGATCATGTGGATAGCACAGGGGGCAGCTTGCAGGGGGCACACATGGATCATGTGGATAGCACAGGGGGCAGCTTGCAGGGGGCACACATGGATCATGTGGATAGCACAGGGGGCAGCTTGCAGGGGGCACACATGGATCATGTGGATAGCACAGGGGGCAGCTTGCAGGGGGCACACATGGATCATGTGGATAGCACAGGGGGCAGCTTGCAGGGGGCACACATGGATCATGTGGATAGCACAGGGGGCAGCTTGCAGGGGGCACACATGGATCATGTGGATAGCACAGGGGGCAGCTTGCAGGGGGCACACATGGATCATGTGGATAGCACAGGGGGCAGCTTGCAGGGGGCACACATGGATCATGTGGATAGCACAGGGGGCAGCTTGCAGGGGGCACACATGGATCATGTGGATAGCACAGGGGGCAGCTTGCAGGGGGCACACATGGATCATGTGGATAGCACAGGGGGCAGCTTGCAGGGGGCACACATGGATCATGTGGATAGCACAGGGGGCAGCTTGCAGGGGGCACACATGGATCATGTGGATAGCACAGGGGGCAGCTTGCAGGGGGCACACATGGATCATGTGGATAGCACAGGGGGCAGCTTGCAGGGGGCACACATGGATCATGTGGATAGCACAGGGGGCAGCTTGCAGGGGGCACACATGGATCATGTGGATAGCACAGGGGGCAGCTTGCAGGGGGCACACATGGATCATGTGGATAGCACAGGGGGCAGCTTGCAGGGGGCACACATGGATCATGTGGATAGCACAGGGGGCAGCTTGCAGGGGGCACACATGGATCATGTGGATAGCACAGGGGGCAGCTTGCAGGGGGCACACATGGATCATGTGGATAGCACAGGGGGCAGCTTGCAGGGGGCACACATGGATCATGTGGATAGCACAGGGGGCAGCTTGCAGGGGGCACACATGGATCATGTGGATAGCACAGGGGGCAGCTTGCAGGGGGCACACATGGATCATGTGGATAGCACAGGGGGCAGCTTGCAGGGGGCACACATGGATCATGTGGATAGCACAGGGGGCAGCTTGCAGGGGGCACACATGGATCATGTGGATAGCACAGGGGGCAGCTTGCAGGGGGCACACATGGATCATGTGGATAGCACAGGGGGCAGCTTGCAGGGGGCACACATGGATCATGTGGATAGCACAGGGGGCAGCTTGCAGGGGGCACACATGGATCATGTGGATAGCACAGGGGGCAGCTTGCAGGGGGCACACATGGATCATGTGGATAGCACAGGGGGCAGCTTGCAGGGGGCACACATGGATCATGTGGATAGCACAGGGGGCAGCTTGCAGGGGGCACACATGGATCATGTGGATAGCACAGGGGGCAGCTTGCAGGGGGCACACATGGATCATGTGGATAGCACAGGGGGCAGCTTGCAGGGGGCACACATGGATCATGTGGATAGCACAGGGGGCAGCTTGCAGGGGGCACACATGGATCATGTGGATAGCACAGGGGGCAGCTTGCAGGGGGCACACATGGATCATGTGGATAGCACAGGGGGCAGCTTGCAGGGGGCACACATGGATCATGTGGATAGCACAGGGGGCAGCTTGCAGGGGGCACACATGGATCATGTGGATAGCACAGGGGGCAGCTTGCAGGGGGCACACATGGATCATGTGGATAGCACAGGGGGCAGCTTGCAGGGGGCACACATGGATCATGTGGATAGCACAGGGGGCAGCTTGCAGGGGGCACACATGGATCATGTGGATAGCACAGGGGGCAGCTTGCAGGGGGCACACATGGATCATGTGGATAGCACAGGGGGCAGCTTGCAGGGGGCACACATGGATCATGTGGATAGCACAGGGGGCAGCTTGCAGGGGGCACACATGGATCATGTGGATAGCACAGGGGGCAGCTTGCAGGGGGCACACATGGATCATGTGGATAGCACAGGGGGCAGCTTGCAGGGGGCACACATGGATCATGTGGATAGCACAGGGGGCAGCTTGCAGGGGGCACACATGGATCATCTGGATAGCACAGGGGGCAGCTTGCAGGGGGCACACATGGATCATGTGGATAGCACAGGGGGCAGCTTGCAGGGGGCACACATGGATCATGTGGATAGCACAGGGGGCAGCTTGCAGGGGGCACACATGGATCATGTGGATAGCACAGGGGGCAGCTTGCAGGGGGCACACATGGATCATGTGGATAGCACAGGGGGCAGCTTGCAGGGGGCACACATGGATCATGTGGATAGCACAGGGGGCAGCTTGCAGGGGGCACACATGGATCATGTGGATAGCACAGGGGGCAGCTCTCCTCTCACATCAACCTGTCCTCCCACTTCCCCCCTTACCCCTGCGTCCTCCTCTCCCCTCTCATCACATGCATCCAGGGCCAATGGAGGAAAGCATTCAGTGGCCCACATGGCCATGATACTGCTCATCTCTTGACTGGCCTTGACTGGCTCATTCTCGTTTCTCTCTCTCTCTCTCTCTCTCTCTCTCTCTCTCTCTCTCTCTCTCTCTCTCTCTCTCTCTCTCTCTCTCTCTCTCTCTCTCTCACACACACACACACACACACACACACACACTCACCCCTTGTGTGCATGCATGCAGGGAGGGAGGTCGATATCATTGACTGGCCCACACGCGTGCGGATAGCGCAGGGAGCAGCGCAGGGGCTGCTGCATCTACACGAGAACAAGGTCATTCACCGCGACTTAAAGCCGTCCAACATCTTATTGGATCAGGTAGGGACTCAATTCGCTTGAGAGGAGATCTACCATGTCAGGACAGTAGCAGTGCAGAGGGCAGTGCAGAGGGCAGCGCAGGGAGCAGCGCAGGGGCTGCTGCACCTGCACGAGAACAGGGTCATTCACCGGGACTTAAAGCCCTCCAACATCTTATTGGATCAGGTGGGGATTCAAGGCTGTACAGTACAGTGTGATACTAGAGCAGGCATTGGATTCACCCATGGCAGGGAGGGAGCAGCGCAGGGGCTGCTGGATCTGCATGAGAACGAGGTCATTCACCACCCCCTGGTCCTCCCCTCTTCCCCTCTCTCTCTCCATGCCACCTGCCAGGACATGCAAGCACGTATTACAGACTTTGGCATAGCGAAGCAGTCGGCCAGCAGCGTGAGCCACATCTCAATCTCGGCTTGAGAAGCTGGTGGCACACACTCACTACTCTCCAACCACACACACTCACTACTCTCCAACCACACACACTCACTACTCTCCAACCACACACACTCACTACTCTCCAACCACACACACTCACTACTCTCCAACCTCTTCCCTGCCCCCACCCTCCCCGCACCCCCTGGTCCTCCCCTCTTTCCCTCCCTCCATCCCACTTAACACAGGACATGCAAGCACGCATCACGGATTTCGGCATGGCGAAGCAGTCGGCCAGCAGCGTGAGCCACATCTCGACGCGAGTGATGGGCACGATGGGGTATTTGGATCCCGAGTACATGGAGACGGGGTGTCTGAGGGATAAGAGCGACGTTTACTCGCTTGGAGTCATTCTGTTACAGGTGTGTATCTCCCTTAGATGGTGCGAGCATAAGAGGGTGCGTGTGATGGGCACCATGGGTTACCTTGGCCCCGAGCACATGGAAACGGGGTGTCTGAGGGATAAGAGCGACGTTTACTCGCTAGGGGTCATCCTGCTACAGGTGTGTGATGCACTGGTTGATGCTTGTAGGTCACAGGTGTGGGATGGGCACGATGGGGTATTTGGATCCTGAGTACATGGAGACGGGGTGCTTGCGAGACAAGAGCGATGTGTATTCGCTTGGAGTCATTCTGTTACAGGTGTGTATCTCCCTTAGATGGTGCGAGCATAAGAGGGTGCGTGTGATGGGCACCATGGGTTACCTTGGCCCCGAGTACATGGAAACGGGGTGCTTGCGAGACAAGAGCGACGTGTATTCCCTCGGGGTCATCTTGCTACAGGTGTGTGGTGTGCTGCTGTTGTGTACGTGTAGCAGCATGTACCATGGGGTGCACCATGGTGGGTACCTGGACCGGGAAGTGTGTGTGATGGACAAACCACCGTGGGGTACCTGGGCCATGAATACATGGAGACTGGGTGCTTGCGGGACAAGAAGAGCGACGATACTCCCTCGGGGTCATCCTGTTCCAGGTATGTGGTGCACTGGCTGATGCGAGTTGACTTTTGAGTCGACTCAAAAGGGTCATCCTGTTCCAGGTATGTGGTGCACTTGCTGATGCGAGTTGACTTTTGAGTCGACTCAAAAGGGTCATCCTGTTCCAGGTATGTGGTGCACTGGCTGATGCGAGTTGACTTTTGAGTCGACTCAAAAGGGTCATCCTGTTCCAGGTATGTGGTGCACTGGCTGATGCGAGTTGACTTTTGAGTCGACTCAAAAGGGTCATCCTGTTCCAGGTATGTGGTGCACTGGCTGATGCGAGTTGACTTTTGAGTCGACTCAAAAGGGTCATCCTGTTCCAGGTATGTGGTGCACTGGCTGATGCGAGTTGACTTTTGAGTCGACTCAAAAGGGTCATCCTGTTCCAGGTATGTGGTGCACTGGCTGATGCGAGTTGACTTTTGAGTCGACTCAAAGGGTCATCCTGTTCCAGGTATGTGGTGCACTGGCTGATGCGAGTTGACTTTTGAGTCGACTCAAAAGGGTCATCCTGTTCCAGGTATGTGGTGCACTGGCTCATGCGTGTAGCAAGCATGTCACATGCGTGTGCGTGTGCGTGTGTGTGTGTGTGTGTGTGTGTGTGTGTGTGTGTGTGATGGGAAACCCACCATGGGGTAACTTGACCCCGAATACATGGAGTCGGGGTGTCTACACAATAAGAGCGGCGTTTATTCCCTCGGGGTCATCTTGCTACAGGTACGGACGCGATGGGGTGGGGGCATGGGTGCGTGCATAAGCATGTGTGTGTGTGATGGGTGTGATGAGCACCATGGGGAACCTTGACCTGGATACATACATGGGTGAGCAGAGCACATACATGGGTGAGCAGAGCACATACATGGAGACGGAGTGCTTGAGGGACGGGGTTGCCTGAGTGCCCTTGAAGCACCTCAGCATCCCTCTTCCTGAAGCTCCTTTCCCCTGCTCCTCATCTTTCCCACAGATGCTAGCAGCTCGGGACGCTCGCTGCTCCTTTCCCCTGCTCCTCATCTCTGAGAATTCTAAAAAAAACCCTGCAACAGATGCTAAAACCCTGCAACAGATGCTAACAGGTCGGGACGCTGTTTCCAAGGAGGGAAAAGTGAAGCTCGTGGCATGGACGGGGCCGCACCTGTACCCAACATCACCAACCCTGAGGCTTCCCTCCTCCGCATCTGTCCTCCCCACACCCCCCCACCACGCAGATGCTAACAGGCCGCGATGCTGTGTCTAAGGAAGGCAATGTGAAGCTTGTGGCTTGGATGGAGCCGCACCTGTACCCCAACATCACCGAACCTGAGGCTTGGATCGACCCGAACCTGCAGGGCAGGTTCTCCCGCCGAGGCGCCAAGATGCTGGCAGCCGTGGCGAAGCAGTGCTCCGCCCGGCACAAGGACGACCGGCCGGAGATGAGTGACGTGGCACAAGCTCTGATGTCCGTGCCTCTTGCTGATTGACTTGCTGACTGACTTGCGTTGACTTGGGTTGACCTGGGTTGACTTGAGTTGACCCGGGTTGACTTGGGTTGACCTGAAGTCAGCAGCTGTGGAAAAGCAAGGCGCCGCTCGGCACAAGGAGGACCGGCCGGAGATGAGTGACGTGGCTCAGGCATTCATGTCCGTGCCTCTTGCTGATTGACTTGCGTTGACTTAAGTTGACTTAGCACTGGTGGGATGGGATGCTGGAAGCTGTGAGGAAGCAGCGTGTCTCCAGAGGCCGAATGGATGAGGACCGGCCGGAGATGAGTGACGTGGCACAAGCACTCATGGACGTGCCGATGGCCTGCTGATTGACCTTCATTGACTTGGGTTGACCCAGGTTGACTTGACACTGGAGAGATGGGATGTTGGCAGCAATGGCGAAGCAGCAGTATGCCGCCAAGCCCGATGCAAGAAGGACCGGCTAGAGATGAGCGAGGTGGCACAGGCGCTCATGGTCGTGCCTCTTGGTGGTTGACCTGCGTTGACTTGGGTTGACTTGGCACTGGTGGGGTGAGAAGCTGGAAGTCGTGGCGAAGCAGTGCGCCGCCCGAAACAACCCGGCCAGGAGATGAGGACTCCTCATCACCCTCTTAAACCTGAAACGTGGAGGTCCGGGTGGAGACGAGTGGCATGACAGGGGCACTCATGGTGTGCCTCCTGGCTGCTAATTGACCTGCGTTGACTTTGGTGGACTTGGCACTGGTGGGATGGGATGCAGGCAGCTGTGGCAGGGGCGCTCTTGACTGCTAATTGACCTGCGTTGACTTTGGTGGACTTGGCACTGGTGGGATGGGATGCAGGCAGCTGTGGCAGGGGCGCTCTTGACTGCTAATTGACCTGCGTTGACTTTGGTGGACTTGGCACTGGTGGGATGGGATGCAGGCAGCTGTGGCAGGGGCGCTCTTGACTGCTAATTGACCTGCGTTGACTTTGGTGGACTTGGCACTGGTGGGATGGGATGCAGGCAGCTGTGGCAGGGGCGCTCTTGACTGCTGATTGACTGACATTGACTTTGGTGGAATTGACACTGGTGGGATAGGATGCTGGCAGCTGTGGCGAATCAGTGCGCCGCCCGAAACAGCTCTGCCAGGGGGAGATAAATCACGTGGCACAGACCTCGTTTCTGTCTGTTGACTGGGGATGTGGTGTGGTGTCAGCTGGAGGATCTGGCAAGGCAAGGCAAGCCTTCAATGGGTGTACCCTGGAAATAATGTAACACACCTACCTACATTCTCTACAAGAAGCTTTTTCATATTCTTGCCAATATAAATGTGCTGGTGTGAGAATATGCCTTATTTTGTTTTAGCGTGTTCATTTCCAGCCTGACACTGTACTCAGTTCCATACAGTTCCTGGAAAAATGGAGTGCTGTAGAAGCACTTGCACATTATTGCGGAAATTTTGATTGGCTGGTATGCAATAAAACACGATTCCTGACAGTTCCGTGACCAATATAGTACAGAAGTCTGGGGTAAATCAGCATTCAGGGCATGGTAGTACCGTGGTAGGGAACCCATCATACCGTACCGGTACCTGTGGCTCACCAATCCATTCATGTAAGAAATGGTCATGGTGGAAAGACAGCTCCCTCCCAACCCAACCCAGCTGATTCTTAGTACTGTGCTCCATGGCTGACAATGAATCTCCTAGCGGCCGTACAGTGGTACGGTTCCATAACTCCAAAACATCTCTATAGCTCGTCTTCGCACAAAATCTGGTCTTCACAATGCGCCACTCTCAACCCCGTCCGGATTCGCTGAATGTCCTCCGTGAACGACGAAGCTGCCGTCCCAAGAAACACGTCTGCTAGAGCACACACCGCCTTGTCTAACGTCACCCGCACCACCCCCGGATGCTCAAACCGGTGCGGCAGCAGCACCTGCGCCCAAGCCTGCGCGTCCAGGTTCAGCGGAAGCTGCATCAGCCGCAGGTCCGGGCGGTGGGACAAAACCGCTCCGGTCAATTCCGCCACCTCAGTAGGTTCGGCGTCAGTGGCTAGGAAAATGGTGCTGAGATTGCTGGATTTTGCCATGCGATCGGCGATGCATCTCGCGGTGCGGTTGATTGTGAGATGAGAGCCTGAGTCCTGAAAGCTGGTAACCAGGTCTTTTCGCCGCCAGTGAATCGCCATGTAGCGAAGCTGACCGGCATTCTTACCACTGCTACCGCTGGCACTAGTAGTGGTGGTACCCCCACTGGCAGCAGCAATGGCTGATGGTAGCGTGTCCTCAGCCGCTGTGTTGTTGCCCTGCTCCTCTCCTTCCCTGCTACTCCCTGCACTGTTATTCATCCCCTTTAGAAGCACATCCGATACAAACCGGCTGGCAGCTTCGAAGATCGCCGGATGGGGCTGAATCGCCAGTTTATTCGGGCAGCCCGGGCGCCGAAAAAACGGCACGTCAATCTGCCTGTGAAAGGTTTCATCAAACAGCGAAGCTCCCAAATCCCCCATTACAAACACATCAGCGGACGGGAAGATCAAATCCCCGAATCTCTTGATATCTGTGATGTTGATCGAGTGATCCGGAGGCAGGTTGGCATCCGTGAAAGTTAAAGCCTCGTATGAGATGCCTCCGAGTGTGGGGAGGACTGTGGGAAGGCCCCAACCTGGTTGGAAGTAGCAGTTGGTGAATGGGCACACGACCTGGGTTATTATTATATCCGCTGCTGTGCTGCTGCTGCTGTTGTTGTTGCTGCTGTCATTGCCACTACTGCCATTGCCGCTCCTTGCTGCTCTTCTCTCTGCCAGTAAGTCGTCGAGGGTGATGACGGTGCGCGGCCCGTAGCAGCGGTGCATGTGGGTGAGATGGAAAAACACGCGCCGGTCGTAGCTGCCGTTCACCTCCGCCGGCCGGAACGGTGCGACCAGCGTGCGGTTGAGAACGCCCGCCACGATTAGATAGTTGCGGATGCAGCGAATGCGGTTGGACACCTGATTAGGGGGCACAGGTGGCGAAGGGGACAAGGAGGAGGGAGGGGACTGGGTGTGCATGAAGCCAGATCAACGAGCGTGCGGTTGAGCACCCCTGCCACTACGAGGTAGTTGCGGATGCAGCGAATGCGGTTGGACACCTGATAGGGGGAGTTGGGGGGGAGGAGGGGGGGTGAGGGGAATAAGAGGGGAGCAGGGAGCAGGGAGCAGGGGCTGGTCGTGGTTGAAGGCAGATCAACGACTGTGCAATTGAGAACCTACGTCACAAATAGGTAATTGCGGATGCAGCGAATGCGGTTGCACACCTGATAAGGGATGGGTTGGAAGGAGGAAAGAGTGGGGAGAGAGGGCGCAAAGGGGCCGGGTGTGCTTGAAGCGAAATTCACGAGCATGCGCTCAAGAGCCCCAGCCTTTGTTAGGTGGTTGCGGAAGCAGCGGTTGGAACCCAACAATCCCTTCGAATGCGGTTGGACACCTTGCTCTCACCCGCCTCTCGTACTCACCCGATATTCCAAGAACTAAAATCCAGTACGGCTCGTTCTTTGCGGCTGGCTAGCTGGCTTACAATGCAAGTCAACATGCAGAGGTTGTTGGGACGAATTCAATCTCATCACTTCACGAGCACTGGATCCCTGACTTTTAACTTTGCTTCTACCAAAAGGTTACATAACATTTTTGGCAAACGCCAGCACACTAAAAATTGAGGGAGGGGGATGTTAAGAGAAATCTGTTTTTTGAGAGTTCTGAAGTGATACACAAGCCCCAATGAAGTGATGGGATTGAATTCGTCCCAACAACCTCTGCATGTTGCTGGGAGAACCCCCCTTCCAAGACGACAACTTGAACAGCCCCATCTTGGCCCCTCTTCCTTGCTCTCCTGCTCTTTCAAGCCTCTCACACCCACCTGGTTCCGCTGACAGTCTATGAGAATGTACTTGTCAGGCTGCGGCTCCCACGCGAGAGACTGATAAAAAACACCCCTTCCCAGGGCCACGAGTTGAACAGCCCATCCCAGGGCCACGAGTTGAACAGCCCATCCCAGGGCCACGAGTTGAACAGCCCATCCTGGCCAAACACCTCCCCATCCTGCTGCCTCTCCCTCTCCCCCTTTGCACCATAACCCTAGCCTGTCATTTCCCTCAACTCACACGCACCTGGTTCCGTTGCCAGTCCATGAGAATGTATTTGTCCAGCTGAGGCGGCCACGCCAGGAACCCATCAGCAAACCCGCCCTCCCAGGACCCGCACTCCCGCCTCTCACACGCACCTGGTTTCGTTGGCAGTCCATGAGAATGTATTTGTCAGGCTGCGGCTCCCACGCCAGAAAGCCATGAGGATATATTTGGCACGCCCAACCCCTTCCCCCCTTGCTCCCTCTCCCCCCTCACACATACCTGGTTCCGTTGGCAGTCCATGAGAATGTATTTGTCAGGCTGCGGCTCCCACGCTAGAAAGCCTTCAGAGAAGCCCCCCTCCCACGGCCACGCGTTGAACAGACCGCCCTTGTTCGAGCACCGCCCCTGCTGCCTCGCTCTCTGAATCTCCGACCATCGCTGCTCCTTTGATACCTGGCGACCCCTGGCAGGGAGATGGGGAATGAATGGGGAGGGGTGTCACGAAATGAGAGGTCAATACTTGGTCAGGGGAATGTACGCGCACCGCCCCTCCTGCCTTGCTCTTGTGAGCTCCAACAGCCGCTGCTCCTTTGATACCTGGCGACCCCTGGCGACCCCTGGTGACCCCTGGCGACCCCTGGCGACCCCTGGTGACCCCTAGCGACCCCTGGCAGGTAAATGGGAAGAGAATGGGAATGAGGAGAACAGCTTGGAATGCAGTTCGGATCTCGCTCGTACGAATGGGACGAGGGGAATGGACTGGTCAAGGGATTACGAAGATGAACTGAATACTCAGGAAGCTAAGGGGCTGAGGATGCTCAAGGGAGGGCAGTGAGGAGGGAAGATAAGGGGGTGAGGAGGGAAGTGCAAAAGGAAGGTGTTGAGGAGGGAAATGGAGAATGGGGTAGTGGAGGGAAGAGAAGAAAGGGTGGGGTGAGGAGGGAAGAGAAGAAAGGGTGGAGTGAGGAGGGAAGAGAAGAAAGGGGGTGAGGGGGGAAGTCAGGAATGGGGTAGGTGGGAGAGCAGGAGCACACACCAATCAACTCGTATGCTAAGATCCGAGCTGGAGCCTGGTGATTGGCTTCTGCTGCTGCTGCTCGTATTGCTACCATCATGTTGCTGTAGAGTCCCATCCTCAGCCGTTCCTGGGCTTGACAAACTTGGTTCGGCAGCTGGTTCGGATGAGACTGTCAAGGCTGATGATGGTTGGGAAGGAGGTTTGGATGATGCTGACGAGGCTAAGGGGGGAGGAGGCAGGGCAGGAGAAGCAGCAGATGCTGCAGCGAGCTCTCGTTCCAGTTGAATCACTCTCCCTATAGTCACACCCGGGAGTTCTAAGTCGAGTTGAACGAGGGACGGATCGGATGGCGGAGCTGAGATGTCTGTGGACGGCTGCAGATGGTTACAGGGTGGTCAGAAGACGAAACAATAATATTTTATGATTGCAGATGGTTGGTGCGAAACGGGATTTGCAGAGGCAGAAGATTCTGATAATAAAGCGTTGAACGATTGCAGGGATTTTAGGTGGAGATTGATGTGAATTTGAGGAAGGCGAGACGCATGCGTACTGTGGTATGGCGGAATGCTCTCTGGATAACAAGACTGTGAATGCGCCGGTGAGGAACTGAGCAATCGAGCTCGCGACGAACACGGAACTATGAATATGGGATGCCATTAACGGGAAATTGTTCTGACCTGCTGTGCAAAAACGGCGAGGGAGAGCGTGAGGAGGACGAAAAGAGGCGGAGGGAGCGCCGGAATAAATCTCCATATTAATCTACGTCTCAAAACTAGAGGAAGGGAACTGCTCCTCGGAGAGAGAGATGGGGTGAAAGCAGCAAGTGGCTGAGGGACTGCCTTCCCTAGTAACGATCTACGGAACAATTTGTGAGACATGAGATCCGTCTTAAAACCACAGGAGAGAGCGCGGAGACAGCTAAAAGCCGCTGGGGGATGTCCGTACAACGTCCAAATACGGTTCTTCCTCAGTAATAGTCTACGGGTTAATCCGCGAGTCAGCCAATGTCTCAAACCTTGAGCAGAGCGCGGAAGGAGCACCTCATCGCTAAACACGTCCTTAGTAACGATAGACTACTAATTTATTGCGCGGGTGATCGCATGAGGAGACAGCAACACACGGCTGAAAGGTGCGGATGAACGTGCGAGTCATGACAGAAACGGAGGTGACGCTTCTGTAACGAGGAGAATTTCAAAATCCCGTAGTTCCCGAGGAAGGAAATCGGGTTGTGTGAAGAGGACGAAGCAGCCGTTTCCGTTGCCTGAAATTAGCGCGCTCAGCCGCACCCGAGGGCTACGAGGAACCTATCTTACGAGTGAAATGAGGACCATCGTGGTTACCAGCCGTTTGCGTATTAATTACGGCTATGAGGAACCTACCTTACGCTTCTAACATGCCTGGATATACTTAATTCCTGGCGAGTGAAACGAGGACCATCATGATCACGGGAGAAAGGCTACCATACCTTGGGTATCCCGCGTCATAAAACCATCTGTGAAGGGGACTAAGGGCGGGTCCAAAGAGTATGTCCAAATGCGGTTGAAAAGGTTTTAGGCTTAATATAGAGCGGTCTATTTAAAATAACAGATGGTTGGGTAGGGTTTTTTGCGAATACATGCATTGTTGGACCCGCCCTAACGGATTTCCGTCTGGTATGCTCAAATTGCTGAGGGCGCATTTCTGTCTCGTGTCAAACCTTCTACATATATCAATTTAGCTTTCAAGCCTCGCATTTCGTCATGCTTAGCATAACCTTGGGGAATGTCTCAACGAAACGAGATCGACGGTCGGTCGACGGACTCGCTTGTCCGTTGAGATATCATGAGGATCCGCGAAATAGGTTCTGGTATCCATTGAGTTCCATTAAACTATTCGTTAGCCTCCGTGTTCAGTGTTCAAGATCACCTTGAGCACTTAACGTTTATCTAAAACCAGAGCTCAGCACCCTGATTGTAGTTTCGCACCCGAACTTTCGGTAAATGGGTGTCGGCACCCCTATCAGCATTTCCCGAATCATTGGAAAAATACTGACACGGTCACACACATCTGCTGCAGAACACTCGAGAGTCCAGACCAGATTCGAGAAGCTCGAAGTTCCTCCCTCCTCCCTGGAAGTCCAGAGTCCTCCCTCCATTTCAACTCCAAACGATAGCGAGCTGTCATGCTAGCGACTCATCCTGCCGCTCTACTTGGTACATTAATCTCGTTAGCTGAAGCCGACTGACTTGGATCAGCCGGCTTGTTTGATATACGCCTTTGAACGATTTGCTGTCTGATCGTTTGCCTGTCCCCACTTGTGTAGACCGATCCACCTAGATTTTGCCGTGACGCGATTTGCTGTCACCACACGCCATTCAGTCGCTTCACTCTGACTCAATTCCCGAGTGACAACCTAAATGTTGCTGAAGATGCCACGTGCAGCCATCGCCGCACATCATTCCCCCCCGTAACGCAATAAGACACAGGTGTTCTCGCTAGAATCACACGCTTTAGAACCGCACGTGGACGAGCTCGGGCGAACGCCGATCAGCAAGCTCTCAGCACTCCGAATTTTGGGAATTTATCGCCATGGCAGTCAATCCGTCTCCGCCTTCCGCAGCCTTCCCTGCATCGTCCCCTTTTTCCGCCTCCGCACCTTTTTCATCCGCCAATCCCCCCATTTTCTCCGCTTCCGCGCCCGCGGATCCCGCCGCGCCGTCCCCCGTCCGCCCGCACAAGCCCACCGGCCGGCACGGCGCGACCGACCAGCAACGCCGGCGCGAGCTCGCTCTGGAGCGGCAGCGCGCCGCGCGGCGGGACCTGCAACTGCACGCGCGCCACGTGGCTCTCGCCGCAACTGGCGCCGTGACTCTCGCTGACGAGGTCGAGGCGCGCGAGTCTGCCGCCGCAGCGCCAGAGTCGAGAGAAGTTTCGCCGCTGCTTCCAGAGATATGCGAGTTCGACGAGGCTTCGGGCCAATGGACGAGGATCGACCAAGAGGGGTTCAGAATCGACGGCTCAGGGAGACGGATCGAGCCAGTCGACCTAGGATCTGACGCGTCTGGATCTACCAGAGAACCCTTTGCTACTGGAGCGAGAATCGATGCTGCCGAAGGGGAAGGCACTGAGGAGGGGGGTGTGTTGGGAGGAGTGGGTAACGGGGAGGGGGTGTTTGGGATGGTGCGTGAAGCGGGTGGGGAGGGTATGGAGATGGATGGGGATGGGGATGGGGATGGGAATGGGGAGGGGGAGGGGGAGGAGGATGGTGGGGGCGTTGTGGGGATTGAACAGGAGATGAGGGGGTTGTTTGTGCCGCGTGGTGAGGCTGGGGGGAGAAGAGGGAAAGGAGGAGCAGGAGGAAGGGGAGGAGGGAGAGGAGGTCGAGGGGGGAGAGGAGGGGTTGATGATAATTTAGATGGTGCGGATAAAGGGGTGACAGACGGTGCAAGGGAGTGGTATGCGCAGCAGCTTATGCTGCCCGAGTGGATGGTCGACGTCCCACCTCGACTTGCCTCTGATTGGTCAGTTCTGTTTCCCTCTCTCTCACCACTCTTGGTCACTTGTTTATCCGGCACCCTTTTACTCAAAAACACGAACCTTCCTGTTTGCGGAAACTAGAATTGTTTGAAGTCTAGCGTCCATTGACCGTTTCCCTTGTCAGTTCTCATATTCCCTCAAAAACTTAACTGAATTCTCCCCTCCCAGGTCTAGCGTCCATTGTCCGTTTTCCGCGTCAATTCTCACATTCCTTTTGCACCATGCCATATTCCCAGGTTCGTGATGCCGCGGCCGGACGGGCGGCGTTGTTTGGTGGTATCTGCAAATGGCACCACCGTTAGCCGCCTGCGCAACGGTCGAATCCTCCACCGCTTCCCCTCTCACCTGCCCAACGGCGCCAGGGCGCCTGGTATCGCTGCTGGCGCGCACGTCTACTGCATCCTGGACTGTATTTTTCATGAGGTGAGAGTTCAGGAGAGTGGGCAGTTCAAGGATTAGAGCTTTGGGTCTAGGGCGCAATCCTCCACCGCTTGCCCTAGCGTCTGCCCAACGGGGGCCAGGGCTCCCAGTATCGCAGCGAGTGGCCATGTGTACTGCATCCTTGAATGTATCTTCCATGAGGTGAGATGAGATCTCAGCGTTTTAGGCAAATTCAAGGCTTAGAGTATCAGGCAGGCAGGCTGAAGGTTGAATCTTCCACCGCTTCCCCTCTCGTCTGCCCAACGGGGCCAGGGCTCCTGGTATCGCTGCTGGCGCTCACTGCATCCTTGACTGTATCTTCCATGAGGTGAGTCTAGGGTTTCAGGGTTTCGGGTTTGAAGGGTCAAATCCTTCACCGACCACTTCCCCTTGTGCACGCCCAATAAGGCCAACATGCAGTCCAATGAGGTCTCATCCAATTTCCCGGTTCCCCCCCCCCCCTCTTCCCCGCCCCGCACTTCTCCATGCTTGCCGGCCCAGCAGCACATACTGCGTGTTAGACGTCACGTGAAGGCATGGCGCGGTTATTCTTGATATGACTGCACTGCTGGGTTCTGTCTCTTGTGCCTGCACACATACCTGCCGCAGTGCGGCGCCAACTGAAGCCAAACAAACTCCCTGTTCCCCCTCCCCATCTCCCCCTGCTCCTCTATGCCTGGCAGCCCAATAACACTTACTATGCCTGACGTGATGGCATGGCTTGGCTATTCTCTCTACGACTGCACGGCAGAGTTTCGTCTCTTCTGGCTGCACACACACCTGTTGCAGTGCGGCGCCAGCTGAATTCGTGCTTCCCCTCCCCCCCCTCTCCCATGCAGCCCAATAACACATACTACGTGCTGGACGTGATGGCATGGCGCGGCTATTCTCTCTACGACTGCACGGCCGAGTTTCGTCTCTTCTGGCTGCAAACGCACCTGCCGCAGTGCGGCGCCTGCGACCCGCCCTCCCACTTCCACCGTTTCCGCTTCGCTCCCGTGCCGTTTTTTGAGTGCCACTGCCAAGGGCTCGAGGCTGCTTACTGTGGGTGGAGAGAGGTTGGGGGAGGGGCAGTGGGGGCAGGAGGGACAGCAGGGGCAGGGGAGGCAGGGGAGGCAGGGGGAGCAGGGGGAGCAAGGGGGGAGATGGGGGGAGTTGAGGGAGCAGGGGTAGGGGGAGCAGCAGCAGGAGGGGGGTTAGCAGCGACAGTGGCTGGTGGCAGGGCCAATGGCGGTGCCTCGGTGCCAACGACTGCACTAGTGGAGTTCACTCGCGATGGGCTGCTCTTCTACAACCGGTGAGGAATTTCTGTTACTAGGCTAGCTGCTGTTCTGAAAGTGATTACACCGATGGAATGGTGAACGGCGCCCCAGTGCCTTGTTGAGAATTCTCAACAAACACGTGAACGGCGCCCCAGTGCCTTGTTGAGAATTCTCAACAAACACGTGAACGGCGCCCCAGTGCCTTGTTGAGAATTCTCAACAAACACGTGAACGGCGCCCCAGTGCCTTGTTGAGAATTCTCAACAAACACGTGAACGGCGCCCCAGTGCCTTGTTGAGAATTCTCAACAAACACGTGAACGGCGCCCCAGTGCCTTGTTGAGAATTCTCAACAAACACGTGAACGGCGCCCCAGTGCCAACGACTGCACGAGTGGAGTTCACTCGCGATGGGCTGCTCTTCCACAACCGGTGAGGAACGTTGGTGAAATGGACCAACTGTCTGTTTTTTTTTTTTTTTTTTTTTTTTGCCCTCCTCTTGCTCCTTTTGCCGAACCACATGTTTCCCCTCGCTGTTGTGCTCTAAGACTTGAATGTGTGAGATGGGCCGCTGTTCCATCCCCAACTCCCCTCTCTCTCCCACCTCCCAGCCACTCGCACTACACGTCGGCCTCTCCTCCCGGGTGCTGCAGTGGCTATATTGATTGAAATCACTTTTGAGAATTCTCAAAAGTGATTTCAGTATCGTCAGCCTCTCCTCCCTGGTGCTGCAGTGGAAGGATGCAGCGTGAATTCTGTTCGTTCCCCTCTTTGCCCCACCACTCATCCCTCCCCCGCTCCGCAACTCCCCAACTCCCCCATTTCCCCAACCCTCCCAGCCACTCCCACTACGCGTTGGGGCTCTCGCCTTTGGTGCTGCAGTGGAAGGACGTGGCGTGCAGTCGGTTCGCTCCCCTCTTCGCCCCTCCATTCACATTTCCCTCCCTCCGTACACAAATCCCTCCTTTCTATCACCCTCTCAGGCATTCGCACTACACGTTGGGCCTCTCACCGCTGTTGCTGCAGTGGAAGGACGCGGCGTGCAGTCGGTTTGTGATTGACACGGATGGATCGGGGAAGATTCCGGAGCAGCAGCAGGTGAGCCAACCTCTTTATACGAAAGTAACTGGAACCATGGAATGCTTTTAGGGTGTCTTTGAATTCTGGGTTTAGCGAGACGGTTTATAGCGTGCCTAAGAAAATCATGTTTGGTTAGGCAATTTTGAGGCGCTTCAAAAGTTGGTCCACCGCTTTACCTCCTGAGGAGAGCTGGAGCCACAGAATTTGAGGCAGAGAGGTTCAGGCAGCGTTCTGGGCTTTGAGCTCGCAGAGATCAGCAGGTCAGGTGGTAACAGCTTCTCTTGTTGCACGGTGACTCTTGAGTCTTGCTGTTGATGCGCCCCACCACTCACCCAGCAGTCGATGCGCCCCACGTCTTGGAAACAGCTAGCAAGGCCCGGTTCTGTATCTCTTCCTCCATCTCTCCATGCACTCCTATGTTCTCCTCTGCACCCCTCTTCCCCCCTCTGCATCCATCCCAGGTGGTTCTCCTGCTGGCAGCAGACGGCTCTCTGGTGACAAGTGATGACCCTCCAGTGGTCTTCGGCTCCTTGCCCCCCCACACTCTCAATGATGTACGTACCGCTCACACACTCACACAAAGAAAGCTGTTTGGTCGAGTCAAACGTGAAGTGCGTACGGTGCGAGCGAATGCTCATGACTTTTGATAACTTGACTTTTGATGACTTGACTTTTGATGACTTGACTGAGAAGTCACCTCACACTCTCAAGTATTGAGTTTTCTCTCATATGTAACGTGCGTACCTCTTACATACTCTCCCCTTTTCCCTGTTTCTCCTCTCCCCAGCCCTCCCTAGACCCGGGTGGGTTGTACCTGGAGCAGGGCCGAGTGGTGGGGGCGGACCTGCTATTTGCTTACCCTCCGTGATCCTCTCTGTTGTTTTCCTTCCCCATCCCAGCCCTCCCTGCACCTGCGCCCCAACAAGCTGCTGCGATTTGCCGTAGGTCCGGGTGGGTTGCATCTAGAGGAGGGGCGAGTGGTGGGGGTGGACCTGCTGTTTCAGGGCGCAGCCAACCAGAGGAGAGGTGGCGCTGACAGCTGCTCCAAGGTGGGTGTACGGGTCAGGGCATGTGGGATGGGTGTTGGGTGGTGGGGGCGGATCTGCTGTTTCAGGGAGCAGCCAACCAGACGCGAGGTGGCGCTGATAGCTGCTCCAAGTTGGGTTTGGGGTTTAGGGTGTAGGCTTTCGGGGTGTGGGTTGACGAGTTGTGGGCTATGGGACATGGGAGGTGGGTTAGGATCACAAGATGTGGGATGTGTGCTTGGTGCGGGTGGTGGGGGCGGACCTGCTGCTGCAGGGCGCAGCCAATCAGAGGCGAGGCGGTGCGGATAGCTGCTCCAAGGTGGGAATGAGGGTGCTGGCCATGCCATGTGTAATGGGGTAGGAGTAAGGGATATGGGATGGGAGGTGGGATTGTGCTTGTTGGTAGGACCGTGGGGTGGTGATGGTCATGTGATGGTGTCTCTCTTTCTTCTGCTGCAGGCTTGTTTTATTGGGGGCTGTGCCTGATTGCTTCCCCCTTCTCTGTCTCCTCACTACCTTTCTCTTCCTCGTCCTCCTTCCACCCTCCTCCCTCTTCATTGTGTCTCACCTCTTGGGCTCTATCCCCCTCTCTCCCCTTCCATCTCCCCTCCTCCCTTTTTAAAATTCCCTGTCCCCCAGTTTTCTCATTCTCTTCCTGCACATTTCCATTCCTCCTGTGATTGCAGATCCTGTTTCAGTATGCGGCTCGGCACTCCCCTCTCACTATTCAACACATCACAGCTGCAGTTGTACTAGGGCATGAAGTAGGTGTAGAAAACATGTAGTGTACAACCTTATGTCGTACAATGAGTTGTGTAGCAAGTGCAGCGAACTGTGATGTATCCTGCTGGGGAATATATGTAGTTGATGATTTTAATGTAGTACCTGGTATTCAACAAAAGGCCCAAAACTTGGAAACAGTAACATAAGTGGTGGAGTTTCGGTCGTTACGCAGGCCATCCAAGCTCGAATGTCGCTGCAACAAGTTTTCCTATACCGCGTATGTCACTCCAGCCGCACGCATTTCGTACTGCACGAACATGTTCCACGTTGTCGTCGAATACTGCGCATGTCGTCAAGCAAGGCTCTTCCTTTCCTGTCAGACAGCTTGCGTTGCGCCCGCATTCAGCCAGCTCAGATTCCAGTCAGACAGCTTGATTCTGCTGGCGCTTCGGCGCTTTTCATGAGATCTCCACGCCACGCGGACGCAGAGGCCAGACTGGATTCGTCCTTCCTCTCTCTCGTGTCATCATGCCGCAAGTACCGCTCCCAGGGGGCTCACTTCCCCTTTTACCGCAAGTACCGCACCGCATTCGAGCTGCAAACTCACCCCTTCCCGCTCCACATTTCCCTCGTGCGCCAATAGGGTTTCCTCGGAGGAGCATTGCTCTGCGCGCTGCGCTCATTCAGCTCCGCCATGCCTGTGCGCCTCCCCTTCTTCTCCGCCCCAAGCGGGCCTGCGCGTCAGATTTCCGCCGTTGCGCACAGTCAGTACGGCGGTTTGGGTCCCACCTCGCGCCTGGATTCCCCCCGTCCCAGTGCGCCAAGTGCGCCCCAGTGCGCCAAGTGCGCCCCAGTGCGCCAAGTGCGCCCCAGTGCGCCAAGTGCAAGTGCGGCGCCCCAGTGCACCCTTGCGTGCCAGTGCCTTCCTCCGCACCCATCACCATGCGCTCGTGCAACCTGCTCCCCCACTACTCCCCCTCATGGTCCCCCGGCCGCACCACCTCGGGCGCTCTCCCGACGATCACTCGAGCCCCTTTTTTCGCGCCCGTCCCTCCGATTCGGGGCAAACCTGCTGCGCCGCTCACCCCAACCGTCGTCGCGTCCTGCGCTCGTCCGACCTGCTTCCCCACATCCTCCCCCACATGCTCCCCCGCCCCTCCCCCTCCGCCTCCTGCGCTCTCCCCGCGACGGCCCCACTTGCGCGCCTCTATCCGACGCAACGTGTTCGGTCTGGCTGGCGAGATCACCGAACGGCGAGGGAGAGAACGGCAAAAGGTGGCGGGTTGGACGGTCACAGGCCCTGAAGCAGAGAGACGCGATGCCGAGATTGTTGCCTGAACTGAACCATCTGTGATTAAGAATGATAAAAAGGACTGCCTGATCTCTGACGGTCAGCGAAGCAGAGGGCGCGTTGCACGCTGACGTGAGAGAAGTGTGCTGCAGACAGGCAGTTCCCATTCATGAATCCGTCCATCATTTGAACAATTAGAGACAGTACGTAGCGGATCACCTCACGCCTTCGCTCACGGGCAGGAATCTTGTGATTGATACTCGTACAAGCGGGAAACTTGACTCGTGCGGGTTTAAAACCCCCGTGTCGCGATCCGAGATCCAACGGGATGGACGCAATGGCGCCGAGTGAGGAGCGTCAGGAATTGTGTGGAAGGATGCGGGATGGCAGCAGGGTGACGGTGGGCGTGCTGTCCAAGTGGGTGCACATCGGCCGGGGGTGGGCGCCAAGGCTCTTCCTTCTCAGACAGGTGAGCGACAAGGGAGGAATCTCGCTTTCTGAATCTCGCTTTCTGAATCTCGCTTTCTGAATCTCACATCTTGATGCTTGCAAAGACGTTAGGTGGGGTGACGGTGGGCGTGCTGTCCAAGTGGGTACACATCGGCCGGGTGTGGGCGCCAAGTCACCTCCACTCCCTTCCTCTTCTCTCACTTCTTTCCTAGCAACACCTCCTCTATTTCAAGCTTCGTGGCAGGGCAGCTCCGCAGCCGCAATGATCTAGAAGTTGTTGAGTCAAATCCAGGGCAAAGTCACCTCGTTTCATTCTCCTCTTTCCCCTTCCCTCAATCCACGCCACCAGCACCACCTCCTCTATTTCAAGCTCCGAGGCAACTCCACAGCTGCAATGGTCCAGAAGCTTCCCGATCGGTACGATCGTGTGGCTCTTATAGGGAGGGCTGTGTCGGACCTGATTGGTGACTATAACGAAGGGATTCTGCGCAAGGGAGAGGAGGAGGAGGGTGGGGATGTGGGAGAAGGTGGGGATGAGGAGGAGAGTGAGGATGAGGGAGAGGGTGGGGATGTGGTGGTGGAGGGGGATGAGGGGGGTGGAGATGAGGGAAAGGGCGAGGAAAAGGGAGATAGTTCAAGATTCCAAGGGACGGAGAGAAAAACGCAACTGATGTCAGGAGATGAGGAGGAGGAGGAGGAGGAGGAGGAGGAGGAGGAGGAGGAGGAGGAGGAGGAGGAGGAGGAGGAGGAGGAGGATGAGGAGGAGGAGGATGAGGAGGAGGAAGGTGGGAAAGGAGATGAGCAAAGGGAGGGGAAGGGGCAAACTGAGGCCAAGGGAGAAGCGGAGGAGGCAGAGGAGGAGTTGAAGAGGCAAACTGAGCAAGTCAAGGGGGTAGTGCTACCTCCCACAGAAAACCGGCAGGGGGCAGCAGTAGGGTATGGTTTGAGGGACGACGATAGGGTTACCATCCAGGAGGGGGGGGCACTTTCACCCGTTCGATCTGCTGGCGAGCGTTACAGTGGGGGGGGTGAAGGGAATGATATCCACCGCCATCACCACCACCACCACCACCGCCACCACCGCCACCACCACCATCAGCATCAGCATCAACATAGCCCGCACCAGCGTCACCATCACAGCAGCCGGTTAAAGCCGAGAACTCCCAGCATACTCAAAACGCCCCCGCTCACCCCCCGGGCTTTAAGTGGCGCGGTTTCAAAGCTCCTGGCGGCATCCCCTAGGCGCAGCCCCCTGGAGAGCTGCGGTTATGGAGGGGGGAGGATGGAGGGGGAGGAGGGAGAGGAGGGTAGGGGCAGCAGGGAGGGAGGAATGAAGGGGTGGGGAGATAGTGGAGCGAGGGGCGTTGGGTTTGGGGTTGAGACGGAGGAGCCTCAAGGAGTGATCGAGCTTGACGCGGTGAGTTGACTTTTGAGACGTCTCAAAAGGAGTGATCGAGCTTGACGCGGTGGGTTGCTGCTGCTGAGGAGACTAGTCCTTGTGTCAAGTGCTGAGGCGACTCAGTATTAAATCCAAGTTTTCCTGTCTTTCCCACACACGTGACATGAAAACGCACTGCACAGTCACTTGTCATTGTCACTCACTTGGCCCTCATTTCACATTCGCTTCACACTCATATCACACCCACGCCATACTCCGCCACACTCGCCTCCTTCCTCCACTCGCTCCTCCCCCATCCCCCCTTCTTCTCCCCTGCCCCATCCAGATCCCCTCTCTAGTCCCAGCCGTAGCGACCCCACCAAGTTCGATTCTTGAGTCTCCTCAAACGTAGATTCCACTTCCCCCCAATCCCCCCCCACTCTCATTCCTCTCCTCCCCCTCCTCCACTCCAGATCTCCTCTTTGCGTCCCAGCCGCAGCGACCCCACTAAGTTCTATCTTGCCACGTCAGCACGCACGCTCATCCTGTGTGCTGAGTCAGCAGAAGACCGCTCCCTCTGGCTGCAAGCTATCGAGGTGTGAACTTCAAAACATGCACGCACGCACACACACAAAATCACACATGCACCAACCAACCTTCCTCACTGCCCTGTTTGGCTGCAAGTTTTTCAGGTTGGGTTTGTTTTGAACCCCATGAATCCACGCGTGCACCTACCAGCCAAATCCCATTCCTGGTTTTTCCCTGGATGTGAAATGTTGTTCTTCAAAGGATGTTCAACTGTCAGGAAGTCTAGGAGATGATGATGATCATGTTCAAAGAAGACTTTTGAGTCGACTCAAAAGTCTGTCAGGAAGTCTAGGAGATGATGATGATCATGCTCAAAGAAGCTTCTTTGTTTGTACGTGCGATGATGATGCATGCTCTTTAGACTGACTGGCCTTCTTCGCAACTTTTGAGGCGCCTCAAAATTGCTCTTTAGACTGACTGACTTTCTTCACGACTCTTAGAATGTGGGTTCCCTCCCTCCCGTCGCTCCACAATGCAGGATGCAAGGCTTTCTTTCCCTGTGCCTGCTGGATTGGTTGCTGCTGCTGATGCGGATACCGCAGCCACAGCTTCTGCTGCTGCTGCTGCTGAGCCAATCTCTCCTGCTCTCTCCTCCCTCGGGATTGCCTCTCTTTCTCCTATGCCGCCTCCTGCCCTTGCATCTGCTGCCACACCTGCTGCAACTGGTGGTAACGATGGCGATGACATCAGCAGCGGTCATGGTGACGTGGACATAGCTGATGCTGCTGATGCGGACACAGAGCCGCTGACTCCGTCACACATTTCCCTCCATCCTATGGTCGATTTCCTGAGGGCTGCTGACGTCAGCGATGACGTCATCATGAAATGCGAGGAGGTGGTTCGGCGGCAGGTGGTGGCGCGGGTGTTGTTGGGGGAGCGGCGTGCAAAGGAGCAGCTTATAACGAGGATGAAGCAGCTGGAGGTATGGTCCGGTCCGTCCATGTGTATGCATGTATGTGGAGTGGAGTGGAGTGGGGTGGAGTGGAGTGGAGTGGAGTGGAGTGGAGTTTGACTGTAGTAAGCTTATGATGACGAGCATCCAGCAGCAGCTAGAGGTATACGGGTACTGGGGAGGGGAGTTTCGTGTGTTGTCGTGATATGAAAGCTAACGTTTGATTCGCTTCTTCCAAATTTGTGTGATTAAAACATGCGTGCGGGGGGCATGTGGGTATGTGCTACATGGCATTGCATGGCATGGGCATGGCATGGCATGGCATGGCATGGCATGGCATGGCATGGCATGGCACGGCAGATAGAGAAAGCTCTATTGGAATCAGAGCTGATCCGCATGCAGAGGAGGAGGGGGCGGAGGAGAGGGGCTGAGGGGGGAGGTGAGGGCGGAGAATGGGGGAAGGTGGGGGGAGGAGAAGAGGAGGGAAAGGAGGAGGAAGAAGCAGAGGAATGGGAGGAGGACGAGGAGGATGAAGAGGAGGACGAGGAGGAGAGGTTCTTTGAGGCACCAGAGAAGCTGGCATGGATGGTAGAGGGGCGAGATGACGTGGTGGTTGAGGCGGGGGAGTGGGAGGGGGAGGGGGAGGGGGAGGGGGAGGGGGAGGGGGAGGGCGCACATGAAGGCGGATATGAAGGGGAAGAGGAGCAGGGGGGGGGGGAGTTTGAGGGGGGAAGGGGCGGAGGCGGGGGAGCCGGGGGAGGAGGTGGGGGAGTGGGGGGAGGAGGTGGGGGAACAGGGGGAGATGGGGGAGGGGGGGTATCGGAGGGGGAGGGGGAGAGAGAAGCGGAGCAGCACAGGGAGATGGTGGGAGGAAGAAGGGCTGCAGAGGATGAGTTGTCAATGGATGCGGTAGGGGAAATCAAACTCGTGTTAAGCTAAGTTGGATTTGAGAAATTCAGTGGTGCATGCAGATCCCGTTGTGTTGAGAATGCAAAATCCCCTTTCGAGAAACTTCAAAAGTCTGAACCAGTCCAGGTTCTCTGTAACGAGGTGGCTTAAATTTGAGAGCCTCGAAACATCAAAAGTCAGTCTGATCTGAACCAGTCAGAACCAGTCCGGGCACTCCGTGTTGAGAATGTGAAATCCCTCTACCTCTTTGCTTTCCCCTTCCCCGTGCCGCACCTTCACTTGAGCCCCATTCTTCGCACGCTCTCCTTCCCACCTCCAGGTCGGCTTCCCCTTTCTCCTACCCTTTCTCCTTCTCCTTTCTCCTCCAGGTCGGCTTCTCCTACCCTTTCGTCCCACGTCGCACGCGCCTCCCACTACCAGACAAGCAAAACCGCTCGGGCAGCCTGGCTGGGGGGCTGTGGGCGGCGCTGCGCGAGTGCGTGGGGCGGGATTTGTCCCGAGTGTGCCTGCCGGTGCAGCTGAACGAGCCAATCGGGTTGCTGCACAAGTGCGCCGAGGAGATGGAGTACAGCTGGCTGCTCGACCGGGCGGCAGAGTACGGGCGGCGGGTGAGTCGGTGGGTGGCGGGTGAGGGTGTGGGCGGCAGAGTACGGCCGGAAGGTGAGTCGGTGGGAGAAAGGGTGGCAGGGTAGGGTATGTGAGAGAGTGGGCAGCCGTGTAGTGCAGTGTGTGGCGGCAGGAAGGCGGGGTGGGAGAGCTGCAGATGGATGGATGAGATGGAGCTAAGAGGGACAAGGGAAATGGAAAAGGAAAAGGAGGAGAAGCAGAAAGGGAAAGGTTCATGGTGAGCATATCCCCGTCCCACTCTAGCCCCCACCTTCTTCCCCTATTTTATATTTTCCCGGTACTGTCAGAAGTAATCATAGTGTCTTGTAGACGAGTTTCCCTTTTATTCCTGGCCCCACCTTCTGCTCCCCTCTGCTTCTTCTCCAGGGCGATCAGCTAATGAGAGCCCTCCACGTGGCAGCCTTTGCCATGTCAGGCTATGCCAACACCAGTGCGCGCATGCACAAGCCCTTTAACCCGCTGCTGGGGGAGACTTACGAGGCGAACTACCCCGACAAGGGCTTTAAGCTGCTCGCAGAGAAGGTGAGTCACTTGTGCCAGAAAGTGAGTCACTTGTGCCAGAAGGTGAGTACTCACCTCCAATTCCCAGCTGCCGTTCTGCCTGCTAATGGTAGCAGGCAGACAGGTGGGTGTTCTGACACTCTGTGCAGGCAGACAGGTGTGTGTGCCACCCTGCTCCTGTGCTGCCTACCACGCCACGAGTGCTGCTCGTGCTGTCCAGCACTGGTGGTGAGCCCACCCTCACTTGCCCTTCTCCCCACCCTCACTTGCCCTTCTCCCCACCCTCACTTGCCCTTCTCCCCACCCTCACTTGCCCTTCTCCCCACCCTCACTTGCCCTTCTCCCCACCCTCACTTGCCCTTCTCCCCACCCTCACTTGCCCTTCTCCCCACCCTCAAACCGCTGCTGGGGGGAGAAGGGCGTGTGAGAGCGCGCATACAAGGTGGGGAGGTTACCTTCAAGGCGTCGAGGCGTCAAATCCCTCACTTGCCCTCCTTCTCCAATCTTCCCTGCTCCCTCTACCAGGTTCTGAACCACCCCCCAACGGTGGCAGCGCACTGCTGGGGCAACGGGTGGCAGCTGTTTGGAGACTCGACCCTCAAGGTGCGATTCTGAGGGCCCTCCTTGCACCTCTGGTGTTCTCTTCTCCCCCTTCCCTCTATACCTCTTCCCTCCCTGTTCTCATCTTCCTGCTCTCTTCTCCTCTCACGTGTTCTTTGCCCAACGTTCAGTTCTGAGGGCCCTCCTTGTACCTGCACCTGCTGCCCTCTCCTCCGTGGGGGCCTCCGTGCACCTGCTGCCCTCTCCTCTCCCTTCCCTCCACTCCCCCACCTGCCCTCTTATCCTCTCACCTTCCTTCTTCCCCTCTCACCTTCCTTCTTCTCCTCTCACCTTCCTTCTTCTCCTCTCACCTGTTCTTCTCCTCTCAACGTTCAGTTCTGGGAGTGACTTTTGAGAATTCTCAAAAGTCTTCTCCTCTCACCTGTTCTTCTCCTCTCAACGTTCAGTTCTGGGAGTGACTTTTGAGAATTCTCAAAAGTCTTCTCCTCTCACCTGTTCTTCTCCTCTCAACGTTCAGTTCTGGGAGTGACTTTTGAGAATTCTCAAAAGTCTTCTCCTTTCACCTGTTCTTCTCCTCTCAACGTTCAGTTCTGGGAGTGACTTTTGAGAATTCTCAAAAGTCTTCTCCTCTCACCTGTTCTTCTCCTCTCAACGTTCAGTTCTGGGGCACGTGCTGCCCTCCGTTCGCACTGCTGTAGGTGTGGTTCTGGGAACCGTCCATGCACCTGGATCCCTCGCCACCCCCTCTTCCTCCTCCCCTCTCCCGTTCCTCCTTCCTCCCTGCAGGTGCGCTTCTGGGGGCTGTCCATGCACCTGCAGGGGCTGTCCATGCACCAGGTGCATGGATAATCCCCTTCCTCCCTCTCCATGCACCTGGTGCATGGATAATCCCCTTCCTCCCTCTCCATGCACCTGGTGCATGGATAATCCCCTTCCTCCCTCTCCATGCACCTGGTGCATGGATAATCCCCTTCCTCCCTCTCCATGCACCAGGTGCATGGATAATCTCCTTCCTCCCTCTCCATGCACCTGGTGCATGGATAATCCCCTTCCTCCCTCTCCATGCACCAGGTGCATGGATAATCTCCTTCCTCCCTCTCCATGCACCTGGTGCATGGATAATCTCCTTCCTCCCTCTCCATGCACCAGGTGCATGGATAATCTCCTTCCTCCCTCTCCATGCACCTGGTGCATGGATAATCTCCTTCCTCCCTCTCCATGCACCAGGTGCATGGATAATCTCCTTCCTCCCTCTCCATGCACCTGGTGCCATGCGGTGTGATCTCCGTGCTGTTATATCCACCCCTTCACCTGTCCTCTGCCATTAGGACAAGTTACCTGTTGGAGTAGGACGAGTCACCTGCTGGATCCAGATCGAAACTTTATACGTATCCATACACCTGGTGCTGTGCGGTGTGATCTCCGTGCTGTTACATCCACCCCTTCACCTGTTACATCCACCCCTTCACCTGTTACATCCACCCCTTAACCTTCCCCCCTCTCCTTCCCTCTTACCCTTCCCCCTCACTGAAGGTGTGGTTCCGGGGGCCGTCCATGCACCTGGTGCCCAGTGGGGTGTCATCTCGACCCCCCTTCCCCCCCTTCCTATGCCTTCCTCCTCCCCTCCCCCGCTCCACCCCGCTCCCTGCAGGTGCGGTTCTGGGGGCCGTCCATGCACCTGGTGCCCAGTGGGGTTATCTCCGTGGTATTTGCTGATGGTGGGGGGGAGGAGGAGGAAGGGAAAGAGAGAGAAGCGGAGAAGGAGGAGGAGGAATGGGAAGGTTCTGAGCAGGGGCAAGGGGAATGGATTGAGCAGGAGGGGAGGGAGTGGAGAGAGCAGGGGGAGGGGGAGGAAGGGGAGGAGGAAGAGGAGGAAGGTGGTAGTGGCGGCTGTTGCGAGAGGGAAGGGAGGAAGCTGATGCAAAGGAAGAGGGAGGACAGAGAGGGGAGGAGGAGGGGTAAGAGTATCAGGGCAGAAGAATCTGGCGGAAAAAAGAGCAGAGAAAGGGGGGATACCTCATTTTTGGAGGATGGAGGAGAGCGGTACGAGTGGAGCAAGGTGACAACGGGCATATACGACATAATAGTGGGGAAGCTTCAAGTGGAGCATTTCGGCACGATGCACATCCGAGGCAGTAAAGGGCTGTCAGTGCATGTGCATTTCAAGGAGCCGTCTCTGTTCGACCGCAGCAAGCACCAGGCGAGTGAAGGGCTGTGTGTGCGTGCGTGCGTGCGTGCGTGCGTGCATGCGTGCGTGCGTTCGTGCGTGCGTGCATGCGTGCGTGCGTTCGTGCGTGCGTGCGTGCGCTCATGCGTGCACGAGCGTGTGCGTGTGTGAGTGAATCCATGTGTGTTAGTAAAAGCGAGTGGTGTGTTTCTGCTTGTCCTGCTTCGATGGAATCTGTACTCGTTACGCTGCACTCTCAGTGCATCACTCCTCGCAAAAACCCACAAGGCGTTCCCTCCTTCCTTCTCTCACCTCGTGCTTGCTCATCCCCCTCCAACCATCAGGTGCAGAACGAGCAGGGGAAGAAGCTGGCGAAGCTGCACGGCTGTTGTGTTATCTTGGTACCCACGCTCCCCAATGCAGTGGCCCACCTCCCCCCCTTTTCACCCACCAACCACCAGGTGCATGGGCACGTGCAGAACGAGCAGGGGGAGAAACTGGCGATGCTGCACTGCTGTTGTATTCACTAGGGCACGTGCTATGATCTACCTACATGCCCTTACTGCGCTCCCTAATATGGCCCCTTCTCCACCCGCCGCCCACAACCGCCAGGTGCACGGGCACGTGCTGAACGAGCAGGGGGAGAAGCTGGCGATGCTACACGGCCGGTGGGACCAGCACCTGACGTTCACCCTCACTCACCACGGCAGGGAGCATTGCAAGCAGCAATTCAACCAGCGAGGCAGGCAGCAATTCAACCAGCGAGGCAGGCAGCAATTCAACCAGCGAGGCAGGCAGCAGGGCAAGAGGCAAATTGAAAGGGGCATGAAGCAACAAGATGCAATTGGGGCTGGGGGGGTGGGTCATGGGGCGCATAGGTCAGCTGCTCCGGGGAGGGCGTACTTGGGGGAGGTGCCTTCTGGGGTTGACGTGGCTTCTGAGGCGCGGCAAAAGTCAGCTGCTGTGGGGAGGGCGTACCTGGGGGAGGTGTCTTCTGGTCCTGATGTGGGTGGCAGCAGCTTGGATGAGAGAAATCGTGGACATGGCTGTGAGAGGGATGCTCTGACCCCAGTAGCAGCACCACCTGAGAACCCACCTGAGATGACACCTGAGCACCCACCTGAGCATGAACCTGAGAATTCACGTCAGCGTCCACATCGGCCACCACCTGAGAAACCACCTGAGCACTTTACTGATCGTCCAGCGACCCGATTAGCACCTCATTCGCTGTGGCATAAGGCTGCTTCAGCCACGGCTCACCAGCAGCAGCAGCAGCAGCATGGAAACAAGTACAACTTCTCGCCCTTTTGTGTCACACTCAATGAGATCACGCCAGATATTGCGGTGAGTTGCCCAACGGGTTTCACAGGGACTGGGCTGGTTCTGATTAGATTCAGAAAATGGAAAGATTGGGAGCTTTGTAAACGTGTTAGGCCGAGCTGAAGTTTAGGAATAAAGTTTGATTGATGGTTTAGGATCAGATCAGGGTAAGACTTCAGGAATGGAATGACCGTGAGAGTTTAGGATCTTACAAGCGCACGATCAAACTCTCACAATCATTCTATTCCATGATTGGAAAAGACTGTGACGGTTCAGGGATAGTGTTGACAGCGCACATGGCATGACTTTCCCTTCTTGCTTTCATCCCTCCTCTGTGGGATGCACAGTTTTGGGACGCCTCATAATTCTCTTGGGACTATTTCTTCCCTGCCTTGCTTGCAGCCCTTCCTCCCCCCCACAGACTCCCGCTTTCGCCCCGACCAGAGGGCCCTGGAGGAGGGGGACGAAGCATGGGCGAATGAGGAGAAACGGCGGCTGGAGGGGAAGCAACGCAAGGTAGGAGACTGGGTCAAGAGGCTGGGGGAAAATGCGGCTCAAATGGACATGGAGGAGTGGGAAAAAGTGTGTCACAATACTGTGAATCAGGTTTGACACTAGCAGGTGCTGCTGGCATATTGTTTTACAATGTCTGCATAATGCGCTTTTGAGGAGCTTTAATGTGCGTTAGCAATTAATCCTAACAGTGAGTCGACGTGAAATTTTAGTAAACTCACCTCCTCTGCATTGTTGTTGTGGCAGGCGCGGCAGGTGCAGGCGTCAGGTTGGGAGCCCAGGTGGTTTCAACAGAAGGCACCTGGCGGCACCTGGACGTACAAGGGAGGGTACTGGGAGAGGCGCTCAACCAGGGACTGGGGAGATATTCCCGACATCTTTGCTGCTGATAATAGCAGCAGTGCTGGTGCCAGTGGTGCCAGTGATGTTGCTACCATTGCTACTCCCAGTGCTATCGTTGTTGCTCCTGCTGCTCCTGCTCCTGGGAATCCTCCTCGTCCTGATGCTGCTGGTGCTGCTGGTGCTGCTGCTCTGGTTGCCAGCCCCGATGATGCTGCTAGTGCCGGCTGACATGCTGCAGTTGCTCCTGCCAGCAGTGCTGGCGGCTGCGTTGTCACCAGTGCTGGTACGTGTAGGTGAGGCAGGCGGCCAGGGCATGGCATGGCATCCCTGATACCCTACTGATGACAGCAGCACTGCTGCTACTAGGGTGCTAGTGGTGGTGCTGGTGGCGGTGCTAGTATTTTTTTCTGCTGGTGCTGCTACTCCTGCCCCTCCTGCTCCTCCTCCTGCCCCTCCTGCTCCTCCTCCTGCCCCTCCTGCTCCTCCTCCTGCCCCTCCTGCTCCTCCTCCTGCCCCTCCTGCTCCTCCTCCTGCCCCTCCTGCTCCTCCTGCCACTCCTGCTCCTCCTCCTGCTCCTCCTCCTGCCCCTCCTGCTCCTCCTCCTGCCCCTCCTGCTCCTCCTCCGGCTCCTCCTCCTGCCCCTCTTGCTCCTCCTCCTGCCCTTCCTGCTCCTCCTGCTTCTCCTCCCGCTTCCCCACCTGCTCCTCCTCCTGCTGCTGTTGCTGCTGCTGCGGATCTGGTTGCCAGATTGAACAGTGATGGCTAGTGTCCTGCAGTGATGGTCCCCTACTGATGCTGCTGCTGCTGCTCCTCCTGCCCCCCTTGCTCCTCCTGCTGCTGTTGCTGCTGTTGCGGATCCAGTGCCATCTCCACTAATGCTGGTTGCTATCCTGCAGTTGCTCCTGCTGGCATAACTGGCAGTTGCGCTGGCGGCACCAGTGATGGTGAAGTAGCTGCATTTCATCTGGTAATATGCTGGTATTAGTTCTGTGACTGCAGAAAGGGGAATTTAGTGGTTACTGTCACAGTTGTTTTGGGCGGGTGCTAATTAGCTGTGTATATAGTGATTTGGCCATGAATCATTAAACTGCCTGTTCTTGTACATTACATGTATTATGGCTTTCCACTTTGCTTTTCATGGATGATACTTTGTGATAATGTTCCTTCCTCCAACTGATTCAGTACAGCATCTTTGAAAAAGAGCTGTATAAATGAATGCTTCCTGGATTCATTACATCCTGCACAAATAACTGAATCGCCGGCCATCACAGAAGATAAATGTTACTGACACCAAGTTTCCAACTTACTTCTACCACACAACGCGTACGGGGCGAACACCTACAATAAATTATTGATGTTACTAGCCTACAATACTACCGTATCAGCAGCCCAGACACAACTGCCCAGCCACACAACTGGTGGCTAAACAGTCAATGGGCTGACCTGACCATGATGAATAGGACGAGACTGGAGCAGCGAGAAAGTTGCATTCGGGAACTTGGATGGAATCAGATGAGCATGCATATTAGCACCCCCCACACTTGCGATCTACACAAGCCCTACTCGCATTGCTCTCATGGCACAGGCTGTTTCGCTTCCACCTTACGCACTTCACTCTTCGTGCTAGAGCCTGGAGTTCCTGCATGTGAATGTGGCTTTTTCACATGGACCACCTTCTCTTGCTGCTGCTGTTGTTTTTCCTCGCTTGGATCCTGCTCTGTTTTTGGCTGCACCAGCTGCTGCTGCTGCTGCTGTTGCTGCTGCTTCTGCTTTTTCTGCTTATGCTCCTGCTGCCGATGTTTGAGCTTCTGCTCCTGCTCCTGCTGTTTCTGTTTTGGTTCCTGGTGCTGCTGCGGTTTTTGTTCCTGTGAACGCTCCTTCTGCTGCTCTTTCGATTTTTGCTGTTGCTGCAGAATCTGCTGCTCTTTCTGCTGCTGCTGCTGCAACTTTAGCTGTTCCTTCTGCTGTTGTTCCTTCTGCCGCTGCACTTGCTCCTGCTGCTCCTTCTCCCTCTGCTTCTTCTCCTTCTGCTCTTTTTCCTTCTGCTCCTTTTCTTTCAGCTCTCTCTCCCTCTTCTCCTTCTCCTTCTGCTCCTTCTCCTTCTGCTCCTTCTCCCGCTGCTCCTTTTCCTGCTGCTCCTCCTCCCGCTGCTCCTTCCCCCTTTGCTCCTTCTGCCGGTTCTCCTCCTCATCATCCGCAAATAAATCCTTAATTCCCGACCAGTCGTGCGCCCCTCGCCGCTCCCAGTACCCGCCCACGTATGTCCACGTGCTCCCCGGCCCCCCTTGCTGCTGGAACCATCGCGGGTGCCACCCCGGCTCGCCTGCCTTGAGCGCCTGCAGGGAAAAAGAAGAGGCAGGGATGTGGGGAGAGAGGATGATGAGTATGAGTGCTTGTATTCCCCCACGTAAGTCCGCGTGCTCCTTGGTCCCCCTTGATGTTGGAACCATCGCGGGTGCCACCCCGGCTTGCCTGCTTTCAGAGCCTGCAAGGAAGAACACAAACACAGATTTTGAGAAGTGGGTGGGGGGAGGGCGGTGGGTGTGGAAGAGAAAGAAAATGCAGAAGTCTAGGAATAGCGCTGCTTCTGCTCCAGCCTAGACTTCTCCTGAATCGCCAGGTCATAGGATACCTCTGTTCCACACTACTTCCCACACCACATGCTCCCTCTCTTCATGCCTCCAAGCACAGCCGTAAACAAGCACACCCAACACCGAAAGCCCTCCTCTCACCTTGCGTTGCTTCTGCTCCAGACGTGACTTCTCCTGAATCGCCCGATCATAGTATCCCTCTTCCAACGCCCGCTGGTCCTCCCGCAGACGGGAATCCGTGGGGGGAAGGTGTTCCTGGGATGGGAAGCGGAGGGAAGAAAGGAAGCAAATGGTGAGGCGCCTCACAGAAACATCTCCCCCTCCAGAGCCCGCTAGTCCGGCCGCAGACAAGAATCGGTCAGAAGGAGGTGCACCTGTGATGGGGAAGGGAAGGATAGGACGACGTGAGCAAGGGAGGAGAGAGAAAGCAATGGTGAAGCTAATGAAAGAAAATTACCAGGAGGAAGGTGGCGAGAGTGACAAACACTAAGGAACAACTACTCACTTGGAGAAACTATAGACCACATTCAAGAACCTAAAAGGTGATTCACCTTGAGCCCCAGAGTCATCTCATTGGGAGTGATGCGGAAGGGCGTGAACTTGTTGTACTTGCAGGGGAAGGGCGAGGGGGCGCACTTCTAATGCCTCCTCACTTCACTTGGTTCAGCGTCAGTTCAAAAGCTCTATTTACAGCAACTCCTCCTCACCTCCGTAAAAGTAGAGAGCACGTTTCCATCTTGAGAGGCTATGGAGCTAATCCTCACCTTGAGTCCTGGAGTCATCTCGTTGAGGGTGATGCAGAAGGGCGTGAACTTGTACTTGCAGGGGAAGGGCGAGGGGGCGCACTTCTGCCACAGCAGCTGTGCCGTGGCCAACACCTCGCTCTCCTCCTTCTGCGACTTGCTGCTCAGCTCCCCCGGCACAAAGTGCAGAAACTGGTCCCACCGCCCCACCAGGGTGGCTTTTTCCTCCCCGTCATCACTCTGAACAATGCCCCTGACCTGCATTGTGAACGCGCATGGGAGCAGGGAGGAGAGGGGGAGAGGGAGGAGGGAGCAGGGAGAAGGGAAGGGATTTGGGGATGAGCTATGGCCAGCACCTCGCTTCCTCCTTCTGTGACTTGCTGCTCAGCTCCCCCGGCACAAAGTGCAGGAACTGGTCCCACCGCCCCACCAGCGTGGCTTTTTCCTTCGCATTGTCACTCTGCACTATGCCCCGCACCTGTAGTGGGTGTGAATACGCATGGGAGCAGGGGGTAGCGGGGGAGAGGGAAAGGCAGGGAGGAGGAGAAGGGGAGACAGTAAAAAAGGGACAGGGGGAACAGGAGAGTTGCAGCTGAGCTGTGGCCAGCACCTCGCTCTCCTCCTTCTGTGACTTGCTGCTCAGCTCCCCCGGCACAAAGTGCAGGAACTGGTCCCCCTCCCCACGAGAGTTCCTTCTCCCCGTCATCGCTCTGCACTATGCCTCTGACCTGCATTATGAACATGCGGATGGCAGCAGGGAGGAGAGGAGGAGATGGAAAGGGAAGTGGGAGCAGGTGAGAGGAGCGGGGGAGAGAAATCCAAGGAGTAGCAGGCGAGAGGGTAAGGTAGGGAGGGAAGAAGATGGGAGCTATGTTGCTGTGCCATGGCCGGCACCTCGCTTTCCTCCTTCTGGGACTTTGCTGCTCAGCTCCCCCCCCCCCCCAACCACTTCTATTCTCTCCCATTTCGTTCTGTTCATAGAGTTTCTGATTTGTTTTGCCATATGGAGGGTTCAAGACCTCCTGCTCTCACACACCTCTCCATCCTCGCAAACACACACATCAACACACACACACACACACCCACACGCACACACACATCAACACACACACACACACATCAACACACACACACACACACATCAACACACACACACACACACATCAACACACACACACACATCAACACACACACACACACACACATCAACACACACACACACACCCACACGCACACACACACACACCCACACGCACACACACATCAACACACACACACACACATCAACACACACACACACATCAACACACAAACAGACACATCAATACACACACAGACACATCAACACACACACAGACACATCAACACACACACACACACCCACACACGTCAACACACACACACACACACCCACACGCACACATCAACACACACACACACACACACGCACACACACATCAACACGCGCGCGCACACACACACACACACACGCGCGCGCACACACACACACACACACGCACGCACACGCACACACACACACACACACACACACACACACGCACACGCACACGCACACATCAACACACACACACACACCCACACACACCCACACGCACACACACATCAACACGCGCACACACACACACACACATCAACACACACACACACACACATCAACACACACACACACACATCAACACACACACACATCAACACACACACACATCAACACACACACACACACACCAACACACACACACATCAACACACACACATCAACACACACACACATCAACACACACACACACACATCAACACACACACACACACGCGTGCACACACACACCATTAGCCACCAAGGCACACACCTGGCTGGCAACCAATGACACACATACCTGATGGAGATTTCGGTTGAAAGTCGACCGCTCTTTGAACCGCAGCCTCGCCGAGAACCCCCACTTCCCCCGAATCCGCATCGTCCCATAATGGTCCACAAATGGCTTTCCAAGAATCAAATTCTGAATGGATACCGTCACGTTGCTCCACTCAAAGACAAACACAGGTACCTGGGAAAGCCCGCAGACATACACACATGCATACCTGGTGGGGGTTCCGGTCAAAAGTGGGCCGTTCTTTGAGCCGCAGCCGTGCCGAGAACCCCCGGTTCACCCGGATCCTCATCGTCCCGTAATGATCCACAAACGGCTCCCCGAGAATCAGATTCTGAATGGACACCGTCACGTTGCTCCACTCAAACACAAAGACACCTACCTGGAAAAACCCACCCACACACACATGCACACCTGATGAGGATTCCGATCGAAAGTCGACCGCTCTTTGAATCGCAGCCGTGCCGAGAACCCCCGGTTCCCCCGGATCCTCATCGTGCCATAATGGTCCACAAATGGCTTCCCAAGAATCAGATTCTGAATCGACACCGTCACGTTGCTCCACTCGAAGACCTCCCCGTCGTCGAATGCCACGGAGAGCACACCGACGGGGTCGAGCTGCACGGACGGCCCCCAGAAGCGCACCTTGAGGCACGCGTCCCCCCAGCTGCGCCACCCCGTGCCCTCACAGTTCCATGCGAGCGTGGGGGGATAGTGCAGCACCTGTGGGGGGGGGGAGGGGAGGGGGGGAGGAGGGGAAGGCACCTTAAGGCACGCGTCCCCCCAGCTGCGCCACCCCGTGCCCTCACAGTTCCACGCGAGCGTGGGGGGATAGTGCAGCACCTGTGGGGGGGGGAGGGGAGGGGGGGAGGAGGGGAAGGCACCTTAAGGCACGCGTCCCCCCAGCTGCGCCACCCCGTGCCCTCACAGTTCCACGCGAGCGTGGGGGGATAGTGCAGCACCTGTGGGGGGAGGGGAGGGAAGAGAGACGGGGCAAGGGCAGAGTCACGAGTGAGAATGGTTCGTAGCAGCAGAAGGTTGACAGGCGTGTGCATGCGTGCATGCCTAAAGCATCCCCGTTTCTGGGGTGTAGTGGTGGTGCCTCTGAGATGTAACGGAACAACCATGAGATGCAACGGATCAACTCACCGCCTCTGAGACGTAACGGAAGCCCTTGTCGGGGCAGTCCGCCTCAAACGTCTCTCCCAGCAGCGGGTTGAAGGGCTTGTGCATGCGCCCAGCGTTGCCCGAGTAGCGCGACACTGCGAATGCTGCCACGTGCACTGCCCTCATAAGCTTGTTGCCCTGGTTGTGGAGAGAGGGGGGGATAGTGTGTGCAGTGGGCGGAAGCGAGCGATGTATGAGGGGATGACAGTGACCAGAGACACTGCAAACACTGCCACATGCACTGCTCTCGTTGGCCTGTTGCCCTGATTGTCGAACAAGGAGAACAAAGTGCTTTCCTGCTCCATTGATGGAACTTCACGCCAAGCAAGCAGCAGGCTATGCACTCACCCGGCGGCCGTACTCGGCGGCGCAGTCGAGCAGCCAGCCGTACTCGTACGTCTCGCAGTACTTCTGGTTGGTGCTGATGGGCTCGTTGAAGCTCACGGGAAGCGATACGGACCCCACTCAAATCCTACCGTTTCCCTTACAGCCTGTCCGTCTGATAGCCCGTCCGCCCACCCTTGCCAAGGAATGCTGAGCCAGAAGCGAGCGAGGAGCAAGCCACGCTGTGCAGCAAGCAAGCAAGCAGCAAAAAGGCAGTAAAGCAGCAAGCTAGCTATGCACTCACCCGGCGGCCGTATTCTGCTGCGCGGTCGAGCAGCCAGCTGTACTCGTACGTCTCGCAGTACTTCTGGTTGGTGCTGATGGGCTCGTTGAAGCTCACAGGCAGCGACACCTTGAACAGGTCCTTGCCCACCAGGTCCTTGAGAATCGACCAGATGCTGACCGGCTTTTCCTCCTCCGCTGGCGGAGGCAGGCGCTCCCTTCGAGGTATCTTGGGGTACGTGAATCCCACCTGGTGGGTTGATGGGAATTGGGTGGTGGATTGGGCAGTAGGGGGGTTGGGGAAGGGTGGGGGAAAGAGCACGGGAAAGAAGAAGCAGCGACACCTTGAAGAGGTCCTTGCCAACCAGGTCCTTGAGAATCGACCAGATGCTGACCAGCTTCTCCTCCTCCGCTGGGGGAGGCGGGCGCTTCCTTCGAGGTATCTTGGGGTACGTTAATCCCACCTGGTAAGGGGTTGGAGATTGGGTGGTGGAAAATGGGTGATTGGGGGGTGGAAGGGGAGACTCAGAAGGGAAAGAAGACACCTTGAGGAGGTCCTTGCCCACCAGGTCCTTGAGAATCGACCAGATGCTGACCGGCTTCTCCTCCTCCGCTGGGGAAGGCAGGCGCTCCCTTCGAGGTATCTTGGGGTACGTGAATCCCACCTGGTGAGCAGTTGGAGAGAGGGCGATTGGGAGAAAGAGTCACCTTGAAGAGGTCCTTGCCCACCAGGTCTTTGAGAATCGACCAGATGCTGGCCGGCTTGATGCACACTCCCCGAGCTGACTCAGAGAATACAATGCACTTCCTTGACACATGAGGCCCAGCCATTCCACTCCCACATACCTCCTGAATATCCAGCACAGTCAGCACACTCCCAGAGCTGACGAAATCATCCATGGCTTCGAAAAACTCGTCATCCTGCCCGCCGCTGCTGCCCGACCCTCCCTCGTCCTCGTCATTGTCCCGAGCCAACACGTCGGCCTTGGCAGCGCGCCGAGCTTTGCTCCGAGCCCTCCCGGACCTGCGGCCGCTGCTACCAATTTGCCTTGACCTGAGGTCGCTCCCACTGCGCTTCAACAGCCCGTGACCTGAACTAGTAACCGCACTGCTGTCAGCCTCCTGATCACCCCCAGCTTCCTCCTCCCCTTCCGCCTCCTCTTCTTCGTCATCCTCTTCATCGTCCTCCTCGTCCTCATCAAAGGTCGTGCTGGCATCATCGCCATCGCCAGCTGTGCAGGTGGGGTCACATAAGGGAGGAAATGAAGGAGTCGAGGAACAAGGGGTGAATGCGAGGTGGAAACGGAGAAAAACGGCGAAATAGGAACGGGATATGGAAGAAATAAACACTCAAAAGAGGAGAAGAACTGGGAAGAGGGATCACCAGAACCATTCTCAAGTCACATTAAACGAGGGTTAGAGGATGAGGCTGAGTGGGAAAACGAATCGAGGAAGGAGAACAAGCTAGCGGGAGGTAGACGAGATAAACCATCAAAAGGTGAGAAGGATTTGGAAGTAAGACGAGATAAACCATCAGAAGGTGAGAAGGATTTGGAAGTAAGACGAGATAAACCATCAGAAGATGAGAAGGATTTGGAAGAGTCCTTAAAAAACATGTCACATCGACCAAGGAGGCGTTACAGGATGAGGGAATTAGGGGGAGAGGGAGAGAGAGTGAATGAGTAGCCTCGGGTGTGAGGGGTTGGAGATTGGCAGACGTACTCATGACGACGCTGTTGCCTGCATAACCCTGGTTCCTCGTCTCTTCCAACATGGCCGTTTCCAACTCAACCTTATCCGCTTCAAGCTGCCTCAATAACCGCAAAAGCTGCAACCGCCGCTTCTGCTCCTCCCGCAGTTTATTCTCCAGCCTAAACACCACTTGTCGCCTCACTATCTCCTCGCACTTAGCTATCTCCTCCACACCCACACTTATGCTCGCTAAGTACGCTCTTAGCGGCTCCATGGCCAGCGACGACGCGGCTACCAGCCTGGAATCATTTATCGAAGGAGCTTGTGCCGAGGCGCGAATCAACTGAAGGTGCTTCATTTTCGCGGCTTGAAGCGCGTCCATCCATAGTAACCTCCCGGCTTTAGATTCCGTCCTTAATCCGAGCGTCTTCGTCCCGAAAACGTAGAACTTTCTACCGTCGGTCGTGCTGGCTCGGAGCGTCGAAACCTCCAATCGGACGCTGCCATGTGGCATGCGATCGCCAAGCTCGCCTTCGTTAGGCACGACCCCATCTTCGCGCTCCTTCTTCACGAAATGGCGAATCTCATCACCGATCAGTCGGGCTCTAGGGCGACGCTCAAGCTCCTGTAACACGGTTACCCGATCAGGGCCCTCTAGTTTGAAGTAAGACAGCAGGCCCTGGTGGGAGACAAAGGCGGGATGCAGAGTGATATACGATATAATTATATGCTACTGAACAGAGACAGTTATGTCTCGCGTAGATATTAGTGACTCGAGATGCGTTTGGACCTAGGAAATCGGTCTTGGTGGACTGGAATTCAGAATTTCCTTGAAAGGAACCCATTGTTGGAAATGCAAGGGATTATCCAGGACCCGCCTTGGTATTACCGTATGATGACACTGAGGTTCATTTGGGTGCGACCTTCGTATCTCGCATACTTACACCAGGAGTTCTTTGGTTCTCACCTTGGATTGGCCCCCGGATGGCACTGGGAATCATCCGGATCCCACCTTGGAATTGCAGGGAGATATCTAGGTCTCAGGCTGCCACTCTTTGAACTTACTCGAAAATGCTTCGACATTTTCGAAAAAAAAAAAAAATAGTGCGACGGGGGTCTGTCCTATGTGGTCAATAAACAGGACTACTGCCGGGAAACAACCAGTTTTGAGAGTTCTCACATCGCGTACTTACCCCTTCCAGAACGAACAGCCGCATGCCCCAGCCTCGTCCCAGGTTCACCCACTTCCACAGAATGCCCATCACCACTTCCGCGCTCTCTTCCCCCACCGCCGCTGCCACTGCCGCCGCTTCCTCCGCCCTCCTCCCCGCCATCAGCTCCCCCCAGTTCCCCCCGCTTCCGCCGCGCGCGCGCGCAGGCACCAGTGCAAGCGACTGCGCGCTGATCCCCGCCGACGATGACGCTGCGCCTACCGCGTCTGCGGCAGGTGTCATGGTCGTCGCGCAAGCATCCAGCTCAGAAAGCAAATCGCGCGCTTCTTTGCTGTTGGAGCGGGACACGGATCCTCTCCCGTCGCTCCCGAAAATCCCGAGGCCTTTCCCGTCGCTACTTTTCCGCCGCTCGCGGCTCGGGCTCGGCCTGCTGCGGCGCGGGCTGAACCTTCCCCGTGTGCAGGATGGAGCGATCGCGTAGTTACCGCCGCTCGCGGAGGATTCGCTCTCTTCCGGCTCAAGCATATTAACGTCATAAACGGCTGCTGACGCAAAGTTCTCTTTGTTCCGTCTGCGGAACGGGTTCGGAACTATGCTGGACAGACGAAAACCTGACGGAGAAGATGCTTCGCCGGGAGAGGGTGATGGAGGGCGGACAATCTCCCCGCTTTCTCCGCCGCTCCTCCTGGCTCCGTTAACGCTGCTTCCTCGCGCAAACAGCTCATTGGCTGACGGGGATGACGTGGCAGCAGCAATCGCGGCAGTTGCCGACCGGCCAGCAGCGAGAATCGCGCTGGACGGCGCCAACCGATCCCCGCCGCTGCCGCTGCTGCCTATGCTACTGCGAAAGCTCCGTGACGGCCGGTGCCAGCTACTCGGCGTGGGAGCCTTCGCATTAGGCGAGAGCGGCTTTTCCGCCGGAGATTGCGGGCGCGGACCAGGAACAGAATCCTGCCACGTCATGGATTTCTGAATCACATGCGGCTGCACATTGCACAGAGCCGGGACTTGTGCACTGGGCGAGCGAAGAGCCGTTGTTCCCAGAAAATCGGAGGACTTGGCGTTGGCTATGTGCCGGCGAGCGAGATTAGGGCTAGGTAGGCGGTTGGGACTGGGAAGACGGCGAGGACTCGGCAGACGCCGAGGCTGGTCCGCGTCAGGGGGGCGAGGATCATGTTTGCGAGTCGACGCCATTGTTTTCGTTTGCTAAGGCGGCTGCAGTTAGCGTCTGCTACTCGGTTGCAGTTAGCGTCTGCTACTCGGTTAGCTCACGGTACGCGACGGTAGTTTCTTACTCACGTAGGAAGCTCATGAAATCACCCGTCGAAACTCCCCTAAGGACGGCATCGTTACTGGTTCACTCCTGAAAAACGGCACCACGGTTCTATGACTTTAATATCATGCACGCCAGGAGCTTCTTCTCTACTGAAAGGTCAAATCCGTCTCCTATTCTTTGCTCATAGAATACAGACGCCCCGGGCCGAAGCTTGAGTAGTTCCGCGATCCTAGCTGACTAGGCCCGATGTGGTCGCTAGCTCCAAGACGGGAAACTGCGAAAAGTATTAAGTCGCATCACACGGCGAAGGCTAAACCGAAGCAGCTAAGGTTGCTGCTGGGATAGGTGGTTGAGCTTCGATGAGCTTCGATGGTAAATGGGGTGATGAGAGGACGAGACGGGGGATGGACAAACGTGAAGAAGAGTCTTTGAGGCGCGCGGTACAGTAATGGGTGTCGCTAGGATGGCGCGATAAGTGGGGAGTATAACGGAGTTGTTGCAAACTGATGGCAAAGGTCTTTAGTTCTCTGCAAACGGACGGAGGGTGGAAACACTGCTGAGATCTCAGTTTGTGCGTGTTGTGCGGACTGATTGAGATGTTGCGCTGCTGACGGTAGCAGAAATTGACGGAAACTTCCGTCGCTGAGGCTGGTAGGTAACACGGGAGGGGGTTGGTCTGACTCTGGACTGCTTCAAGCACGCTTTTCGCCTGGTTATGGGGGAGCGCTAACTTGCCAGTGGGATGTGGGGGTAAGGTCTGGAGGGACTTGAAAGCAGGGTCGGGATTTCGAAACGAAAAATGCTGAAGAATGGTGGAAGGAATTCGGCACAAATTTCGACATTAGGGGTGGTGAGAGAGTTTGATCAGAGAGATGGGGAGGAGAGATAAGCAGTAGGTGTGCGTGTGGCACGACAAAAGCCGGGCAGGGCAAGAGCAGGATGGAGCCGCGTGTTTCTCAACGGCCGAACGAGGCGCATATTTGTCGGTGATCGCAATTTCTGCGGCTGGCGCAAACGGCAATTTTCATGCAGTGCAGCGATTGGTCAATTTGTTTTTTGGACGCTCAGCGTCGCAAGGTGTCTCAGCGGCGCCTCTTGCGGCTCGAAAAATCGTGCGCGGGAAAGTGCATGGATGGGTTTTGCGCTTGAACAACTGTCATATAACACACTGTAGATCCACCATCAAACCTGTGTGAACTGCTGGGACCCAGTCCCCGAGAGTAGCGCTGGAGGTTTGGCGATTGAAATTGTACCGAATTTGTAGAAGTGTGTAAGGAATTTTCTCAGGCATTCCTTACGGAGCCGACTACATCGCGTACAGCAACAGCCGACTGTTCGCCCGTTACTGCTAACGGAACTTCGCCGACTTCGCGCGCACTGTTTTGCCAAACCTCGCACTGCTGGCATGGCCGTATCGGCCTACGCTTCGGGACTAGCCCGAGCCTCGCTCCAGCGTAGCACTAGCAAGTTCGCACGCACCGCGTTACCGTTTTGCATGTTTCGCGTATAAATGCTCGCTCATGCCTTCGCTCACATTTTGTACTCGTTTGACACCTTAGTGCAATTCTCGCTACCTCGATTCATTGCACCCGTAACACTTGGTTATCAGAGCCCCTTTCTTTCGGACCGCGCATCTCCGCACACCAGGAAATCAACTTTTGATTTTTCACTCGAAGGGACTCACGCACCTTAGCCCCCTAGGAGCCGCTGTCCTCGCGTTCTCTCGTAAACGCGTGCAGCCACGACTGCGCCTAGACTAAGACGAGCCGACGCCCTTCGTCATGGCCGAAAACATCGACGTCACCACTCTCACGCAGGAGCGTTTGAACGATCTGCTGCGACAACTGCACGAAAGCTCCGAGGAAATCGCGGCATTGACGGCAGAACGCTCATCACTGCAAAATGACCTCATGAGAGCACAATCCCAAGCACCTGGCACTCCGATTCAACCTGCACCCTCAACATCACAACACGGGAGTGTGGGGCAACCCGCGAGCGCGGCCAGTGATGGCGTCGTCCGCCCCGACGGAGACGACGACCACGGCACGACACACCCCAGAGCGACGCCTGCGGCCCCAAGTCAGCCTCGCGTCACGATTTCGGCACCAACCCACGATTCGGGACTGCCGTCACCGATGCCGCTGAAACCGCAGCGCCCGCCATGCTTTGACCCGAGTCAACGGGGTGGTCCTACCGTTCAGGCGTGGTTATTCACAATGAATGTTTTCTTCGACGCCAACTACGTCTCGGAGGACTCGGCGAAGATTCGATACGCCGTGTCGTTGCTGCGAGGACCCGCCATGGACTGGTGGCGCGTCATCGTCACGAAGCCGACCGACTACGCGACACTACCGACACGGGAAGGACAAACCGGACCCTGGGCGCCGTCGTATTTCGTGGAGGTGCCCCAGTATCGCACGTGGGACGCGTGGTGCGCAGGTCTGCGCGCTCGATTTGAGCCAATCGCGGCCTCGATCTCGGCGCGACAGAAGCTCCGCACTTGGCGCCAACTCGGTTCCGTCCAGGATTACACGAGCGGATTTCTGGCGCTATGCGAGCAGGTGGGCTACATGCATGAGAGCGAACGCATCGACCGCTACATCGGCGGCCTGAAGCAGGACATCGCTCAGGAAATCCAGCTTCGCGGCGTCACTGAGTTTCAGGAAATTCTCGCTATGGCGGAGAAGCTCGACTTCTTTCGCCGACCGAGACCGGGGTCCTACGGAAACAACACCTGGGGACATCGGCCTCGTGGGACGAACGAGAGCGCCACGATACGCGCCGTCGCCGCAAATGCCGCTGCCGCACCGTTCAAAGGGCGCTGCTTTGCGTGCAATCGGCCGGGACATCGCAAGAGCGAATGCCCGGAAAACGCTAAGGGAAAGGGGGAAGCTGAGCAGCAGACACAGACCAAGCAGCAGGGAAACGCTGGAAGTCAGTAGCAGACGGGCCCTCTACTGACAGGTCACGCCGCTCGCCCGACCCAACCGACCCTCACCGAGTGATTGTGCCGGTTCACGCAATCGACCACACCCGGCCGAATAAGGAGGGTACCACGGTAGATAGCCCTATACTGCTCAGTGGGAAAATTGGGACGGACTTAGTTAAAATCTTCGTAGATGGGGGAGCCAGCCACAGCCTCATTAACACTGCTACAGCACGAAAACTGCGACTGCCACTGGACCGATGCTTACCTGAGATCGACGCACGACTGGTAGACGGCACGCCGCTGGCAATACGGGAACGCGTAGACCGAGTTCGGATTCGATGCGGGGGTAACTTCACGTTTAGTCAGGAAATGCTCGCAACGACCCTCGACGGAACCGACATTTTACTCGGGCGTGATTGGCTGCGACGACACAACCCGCGAATTGACTGGACGACGGGTGACTGCACCGTGCGAGTGAACGGTAACAGCATCGCCTTACCTCGCTGGGGCTCGCCTGAGTCTTCGTCGGTGCGTGTCAACGCGATCACGATGAAACGCGCTGTTGCGGCCGGAGCCGACGTGTACGCGGTTGACATTCGGGAAGCCGAGGCAGCAGACAAGGGAGGCGATTTACAGAAACTGCTGACCGACGTACCGAGTGACCTGGCGGCACTGTTACAACAGTACAGTGACATTTTCCCGGATGACCTGCCGACGGGACTGCCACCTCAGCGACCGCACGATCACAGGATAGAACTGGAACCGGGGGCACAGCCAACAGTACAGCGACAGTTCCGACTGACCCAACCCGAATTAGACGAACTAAGGAAGCAGCTCGATTACCTGCTAGAAAAGGAATTCATTCGCCCTAGTTCGTCGCCTTTCGCCGCACCAATACTGTTCACACCGAAAAAGGACGGGGGTTTTCGCATGTGCATCGACTACAGGGCACTGAACAGGGTTACCATCAAATCCCGTTACCCCATCCCACGAGCCGACGAACTGATCGACCAACTGCGCACAGCCCGGGTTTTCTCGAAAATCGACCTCCGGGGAGGATACCACCAAATCCGCGTC